ACACCTGGATCCCAAATCAGCACTATATTTATTAATTTGCTTAATCCTAAAATACAAGAGAGTGGTTTCAAACTTGTTATACTACTGTGGAAAAAACAAACCTATGACATAAAATTTAAGATTCAAGCTGGGCATGGTGGCTCACACCTGTAATCCCAGAACATTGGGAGGCTGAGGCAGGCAGATCACTTGAGGTCAGGAGTTCAAGACCAGCCTGGCTAACATGGTGAAACTTCGTCTCTACTAAAAATACAAAATTAGTGGCGGGCACCTGTAATCCCAGCTACTTGGGAGGCTGAGGCAGGAAAATTGCTTGAACTCAGGAGGCAGAGGTTGCAGTGAGCCAAGATTGCACCATTGCACTTTAGCCCGGGTGACAGAGCGATACTCCATCTCAAAAAAAAAAAAAAAAAAAAAAAAAGAATTTAAGATTCAGTTGTCCTTCCTTCCTCCCTCTCTCCCTCCTTCCTTCCCTTCTTCCCTCCCTCCCTCCACTCCTCCTTCCCTCCATCCATTCCTACCTTAGATTGAAAGTATGCAGTTGAAGAACTGTGTTAAAAAGTCACTTGGGGCCAGGTGCGGTGGCTCACACCTGTAATCCCAGCACTTTGGGAGGCCAAGGCGGGTGGATCACCTGAGGTGGATCACTGATCTCGGTGAGCTGAGATCAGTCTTAAAAAAAAAAAAGATAGTTGGGTTATTTCTCCCCAGACCCCCCATCTCCTTTAGTGTGTTTGTTTATGTTTATTTAAATACAGTCAGGTTTATTTGTTTCTCTTTGTGTTCATCTTTAGGGGTTTTCTCCATTCTGTTGATTTGAACGGATTTGTTTGTTTGTTTTCAGAGACAGGGTCTCACTATGTTGCCCAGGCTGGTCTTGAACTCCTGGGCTCAAGTGATCGTCTCGCCTCAGACTCCCAAAGTGCTGAGATTACAGGCATGAGTCACTGCGCCCAGCCTCTTCATTCTTTTTTTTTTTTTTTTCCTTCCAGATAGAGTCTTGCTCTGTCCCCCAGGCTGGAGTGCAGTGGCGTGATATCGGCTCACTGCAACTTCCGCCTGCCGGGTTCAAGTGATCCTCCTGCCTCAGCCTCCCGAGTAGCTGGGACTACAGGCGCCCACCACCATGCCCGGCTAATTTTTGTATTTTTAGTAGAAATGGGGTTTCCTCACATTGGCCAGGCTGGTCTCGAACTCCTGACCTTGTGATCCGACTGCCTTGGCCTCCCAAAGTGCTGTGATTACAGGCTTGTAATTACAGGCGTGTAAAACTGTGTCTGGCCTCATTCTTTTTTACAGCTGCGTAGTATTCCATTTCCCAGCTGCTGTGTGGTTTATTTAATGAAGCTTCTATGTATGGGCTTGAGAGTGTTTCCAATAGTATAACATTACAAACAATGCTGCAATAAATAACCTTATGGATAAGGGATTGCTGGGTCAGAGGTAGATGCCCATGGTGTTTTGTTAGACATTACTATTCCTCCCTTCTGCATTCCCACTAGCAACATGCACGTGCCTGTTTCTCCAGGCTCACCAACAGAGTATGTTGTCAAGCTTCTAAACTTTTTTTTCTAATCTCAAAGGAAGAAATGATATCTCAGTGTAGCTTATTTAAAGGTTTTGTTTCTGAAAACATGTATTCTTTATCTTGTTTCTCCCAGTGATAACAACTTATGTAACCAGAGTATAAACATCAAAATCAGGAAATTGACTTTGATATGGAAATTTTTTTTTTTTTTTTAACTTCAAAAAATTTTTTGGGACAGGGTCTCACTCTGTTACCTAGGCTGGAGTGCAGTGGTGCAATCTCAGCTCACTGCAACCTCTGCCTCCCAGGTTCAAGCAATTCTTGTGCCTCAGCCTCCCGAGTAGCTGGGATTACAGGTGTGTGCCACCATGCCCAGCTAAATTTTTTTTTGATTTTTAGTAGAGATGGGGTTTCACCGTCTTGCTTAGGCTGGTCTTGAACTCCTGAGCTCAAGTGATCCTCCCACCACAGCCTCCCAAAGTGTCGGGATTACAGGCATGAGCCACCGAACCAAATCCCAGCACTTTGGGAGGCCGTGGCGGGAGGATCGCTTGAGCCCAGGAGTTTGAGACCAGCCAAGCAACAAAGTAAGACTCCATCTCTTCAAAAACTCAAAAAAATTTAGCCAGGTGTGGTGGTGCATGCCTGTAGCCCAGCTACCTGGGAGACTTAGGTGAGAGAATCACTTGAGCCTGAAAGATTGAGGCTGCAGTGAGCTATAATTGCACCACTGCATCCCAGCCTGGACGACAAAGTGAGACCCTATCTCAAACCCAAGAAAACAAAAATAAAGAAACTAAATTGCAGACCTTATACAGATTTCAGCAGTCTTTACATGCACTCTGTTTTCACTGTATATTTCTTCTCCTCCTTCTTCTTCTTCTTCTGGGCAGAGTCTTGCTCTGTCACCTAGGCTGGAGTGCAGTGGCATGATCTCGGCTCACTGCAACCTCCACCTCCCAGGTTCAAGTGAATTTCCTGCCTCAGCCTCCCCAGTAACTGAGACCACAGGCACATGCCACCATCCAGCAAATTTTGTATTTTTAGTAGAGATGTGGTTTCACCGTGTTGGTCAGGCTGGTCTTGAACCCCTGACCTCACGTGATCTGCCAACCTCGGCTTCCCAAAATGCTGGGATTGCAGACATGAGCCACCTCACCTGGCCTCTTCTTTTTTTAATGGTTAAGTATAGAGTTTGTTTTCACCCGAAGCTTGAGGTTGGGCACTCAGGAGCATCGCTTCACGTTACCCTGAATGGTACATGCTCTCTCATCATGTATTCCTCTGAATGTTTATTTTCAGTGTAGCTTTAATTTGCATTTCTCCTATAGTGAATGAAGCAAGCATTTTTCATAAATATAATGGTCACTTCTACATCTTTGTTCATGAATTATTTGCTGATGCTTTTTGCCCATGTTTTCTATCTGGTTTTCACATTTTCCCTCTCAAACCTTTTTCCTTCCTTCCTTCCTTCCTTCCTTCCTTCCTTCCTTCCTTTCCTCCCTCCCTCCCTCCCTCCCTCCCTCCCTTCCTTCCTTCCTTCCTTCCTTCCTTTGACAACATCTTGCTCTGTCGCCCAGGCTGGAGTGCAACTCACTGTAGCCTCGACTTCCCGGACTCAAGCAGTCCTCCCCGCTCAGCCTCCCAGTAGCTGGGACTGAGGCAGGAATTAAAATAATAATAATAATAATAAGTGCTACATGTATTCACTCCAAGAGAAGTAACACCTAAGGCCCAGAATGTGGCAAGGCAAGGGTTAAAAAAGAAGAACAAGCTGTCCGAAAAGCCGAGACCAGAGGAATGGGTTCCAGACACCGCCCCCGCACCCTGCCGCCTGCTTCTGGAGCAAGGTTGAAGGAAAAAAAAGAGAGAAAGACAAATTCTTTTATTGTTATTCCTTTCCTTGGTCTCTTAAGCATGACTATGTTTTACAAACGTCTCTATTTAGCCAGTTCTTGTTTTTCTTTTGACGCAGCTACAAGGCCACCAGCTATGCAAGACCACATGTTACGCACTATATGATTAACTACTTTTGTAAGTCTGCTTATAAAAACCCCACAATATCTTTGCTCTAGGCTCAGCTTTTTGGATGTGAATCCACTGAGCCGGTGTGTACCTTAAAATAAACATCCTCCTGTTCTCTCATATTGGTCTCTCCATTCCTCAGTTTCCCGCAACAGGACTACAGGTGTGCACCACCAAGGTCAGCTAATTTTTATATTTTATACAGACAGAGTCTTGGCAGGTTTCCTAGGCTGGTCTCACACTGCTGGGCTCAAGCATTCCTCCCACCTTGGCCACCCAAAATGCTGTGATTACAGGCATGAGCCACTCACCTGGCCTTCCCTCTCAAATTTTAAGAGTTCCTAATATATTAGGGATATGATATATGTTGCAAATACTTTCTCCCAGTCTGTCAGATGTCTTTTGACTTTGCTTATTGAGTTTTTTTGGACACGAAAAAGTTAAAAAAAATTATACAGTCAAATGTATTAATCTTTCATTGCATCTAGGTTTGTTTTTGTTTTTGTTTTTGTTTTTTTTGTTTTTTTTGTTTTTTTTTGAGACAGGCAGGGTCTCATTCTGGTTGCTCAGGTTGGAGTGCAGTGGTGCAATCTCAACTCTGCAGCCTCGACCTCCAGGGCTCAGGTGATTTTCCTATCTCAGTCTCCCGAGTAGCTGGGACTATAGGCACACCTCACCGCGCCTGGCTAATTTTTTGTATTTTTGGTAGAGACGGGGTTTCACCATATTGCCCAGGCTGGTCTTGAATTCCTGAACTCAAGTAATCTGCCCACCTTGGCCTCCCAGAGTGTTGGGATTACAGGCGTGAGCCACTGCGCCCCACGGCATCTAGGTTTTGAGTAGTAGTTAGACAGCTTTTTCCCACACACATGTAAAAAAGTGCACTTGAAGGACAATACGAAAAGTTGGAATAAAGACTCTGCATTAGATAACTGTATTAAATAAATGGCAAATACCATTAAATAAATCTGGCCAAATGCGGTGGCTCACGCCTGTTATCCCAGCACTTTGGGAGGCTGAGGCGGGCGGATCACCTGAGGACAGGAGTTCAAGACCAGCCTGGCCAACATGGCGAAAGCCCGTCTCTACTGAAAATACAAAAATTAGCTGGTCATGGTGGTGCGCGCCTGTCATCCCAGCTACTTAGAAGGATGAGGCAGGAGAATCGCTTGAACCAGGGAGGCGGAGGTTGCAGTGAGCCGAGATCGTGTCACTGCACTCCAGCCTGGGCGGCAGATGGAGATTTTGTCTTGTCTCAAAAAAAAAAAAACAGTTGGGGGAAGTGTGCTAAACTGGGTTTGCGTAGGTGGAAGGGGCGGCCGGGCCCTTTAAGGTGGCTCCCGCCCAGTAGGCCTCCCCTCACCCCAGCCCCTCCCACCCCGGAAAAACTCGGCCCAAGCCCGGCCCACCCTCGGCCCCGCCCACCCTCTGCCCCGCCCACGGCGGGGCGCAGTCACGTGACCCGGGCTGCGGCGCGCGGCATTGAGCCGTCATGGTGGGCCAGATGTACTGCTCCTCCGGCAGCCCCCTGGCCCGGGCCCTGACGCGGGCGCTGGCGCTGGCCCTGGTGCTGGCCCTGCTGGTAGGGCTGTTCCTGAGTGGCCTGGCGGGGGCGATCCCGGCGCCGGGCGGCCGCTGGGCGCACGATGGGCCGGTCACCCCAGCCTCCCGCAGCCGCTCGGTGCTCCTGGACGCCGCAACGGGCCAGCTGCTTCTGGTGGACGGCCGCCACCCTGACGCCGTGGCCTGGGCCAACCTCACCAACGCCATCCGCGAGACCGGGTAAGGGTTGGCCTGTCCTCACGCGGGGCCATCGCGGGAGGGGGGTGCGTGGCGCCAGACCTCTCCTGTTCCCAGGACCGGCCTCTTGCCAGGTGGGAGCGCCCGTTTCTCTGGGGGTCAGCTACTCCCGAGGCTGCAGCACCGCCCTGTAGACCAGGTCCCCTATTTGGGAAGGGGCCACTGCGCCATCCCTCACCTCATGGGGCCTGTCCCTTGCCTTCGGCCAGTGGTGACAGTACTTCTGTCCCCAAGAGGCCAGTTCCCCACCACCGAGGTCGCAGTGCCTGCATCTGGACCAGGTCTATGGCTGGTAGGTAACTTCTATCCCCACGGGGACCAGCTTCCTTCCCCAGACTTTGCCCCCTCACCCCATGGAGGCCAGCCCCTGTCCCCAGGCCTGAGGGATGATGAGAACTCAGCAGGAGGCTAACTCTCACCCGCTTGGCTGTGGCTTGCTCGTGGGTGCCAGCCCCCTGCCTCCCAGTGCCAGGGCAGCAAGACTGAACCTGGGTTCCAGGCCAGTCCAAAAGCAGAGGGTCCCTAAAGTCACATAGACCCATTTAGTACCTTGCTAGGGCTCTGCTCCTCCCTTGTCTTCTGTGTCCTAGTCCAAGGGGAAGTCCTTGGCTGGATGCTGTGTTTGGCAGCCATGCTCACCATCTTTATTGCTGGGATGCAGGCAATTCTGATGTGTGAGTCTCACCTAACTCCTCCGCCTGTCTGGGCTCCCGTTTCCCCATCTGTGGCCCAGATTTTGAGGATGCGCTCTAGTTGGGTGATCACGTGCTGCAAGTTCTGTACAAGGGCTTGTGCCCATTCATTTATTCATCATCCTGATGGTTGGCCTTAGGGACACAACTGAGCAAGGTGGGGGTTCCTACTTAGTGGGAAAGACAGACAGCGACAGAAGGGAAATCAGAGTCAGTGGGAGTGGGAAGGATCAGCTTCAAAGCCTTGTCAGCAGGGCCCAGATGCTGGATCCAGGCTGTGCTGGCGGATCTTAGGGAACCCAGGGTGCATCCGTCCTAGTGCCCAGATGATGCTAGGGAACCCTAGCACAGGATATGCGCAGGATGTGGTTTGTGCTCAGACCACTGTGCCCCCTGCAGCAGAAAGGGCCTCCTCCCACTGCAGCCCCTATCCATTTTGCTGGCATGCATTGACTTCTGCAGGTGTTGGGGAGACACAGGAGGCCGAGGACACCCCCATTCTGGTGGCACTTGGGGGGTACATCAAACAGATGTGAGATTTGGGGGAGATATTAGCTGCAGACACAGGGGCGCTGGGTGGGGGTCAATCTGGGAAGGCTCCCAGAGAGAGGAGGCCACAGAGTGAGCTGGCATCTGTGGAGGGAACTGAAGCTTTATGGCTGGCCTCAGGGGCCTCCGGGACTCTGGGATCTGGTGACCCATTATTTGCTGACTCACTCATGTTTTTGGCCCTGCATAGCAGAATCAAGAGGGCATGACAGAACTGTGCAGGAGAGGAGGGGCAGGAGCGACGCCCAGCATGGGCAGGGGGCTTTGGCCTCTGGAGGCCCCTGCTGGGCTGTGTTGCTCTTGACTATGGTAAACATGGAAGTGGAGAGAAGGCTTCCTTGATTGTGCTGGATGGAAAGTTCTTCCAGGCTCAGCCCCTCTGCTGTGTGACCTTGGGCAAATCCCTTCACCTCTCTGAGCCTGTTCCCTCATCTCAAGGTAGGGCCAAAAGGGTCATGGAAATTCACTGGGGTCACAGAAAGCACTGTTTGTTTATTTTTACTTGTATTTTATTTTTTGAGACACAGTTTCACTGTGTTGCCCAGCTGGAGTGCAGGGACACAGTCTTGGCTCACTGCAACCTCCGCCCCCTGGGTTCAAGCGATTCTTATGTCTCAGCCTCCCGAGTAGCTGAAATTACAGATGCGTGCCACCACGCCTGGCTAATTTTTGTATTATTAGTAGAGATGGGGTTTCACCATGTTGGCCAGGCTGATCTCGAACTCCTGACCTCAGGTGATCTGCCCATCTCAGCCTTTCTGGCTTGTTTTCAGCACCCTCTCTCGTTCCCTCCTCTTACGCTCACATGCCCCTTTCCCTTTGAGTTTGCCAGCACTTGAGGCTCTGATGTGGGGAAAACCATACAGCGAGCCCCATTTTATAGGCAGGAAACTAAAGTCCTCAGAGACAGCTGCATGAGGACTCAGGGTCAGATGAAAGAAAGTCATAGGGGGTGTCCTGGCTCCTGATCAGCAGAATTTCTGATCTGTGGGGACTCTGTGTCTTATTTCCGAGGGTGGGGGCAGGGATTTGATGCCTCTGTTCACTCAGAATTGGGATCCCTCCTCCTTCCTGGTGAAATCCCCAGATTTTGCCACTGGGGATCCTGGGATTATCAGGATAAATTCTCCCTACTCCATAATCCTTTGTCTTTTTATTTTTTAAAAAAGGTTTTTTTTGTTGTTGTTGTTTTTCTTTTTTTTTGGAGACAGGGTCTCTGTTGTCCAGGCTGGAGTGCGGTGGTGTGATCAAGGCTCACTGCAGCCTTGAACTCCTGGGCTTAAGAAATCCTCCCACCTCGGCCTCCCAAGTAGCTCAGACTATAGATATGCACCCCCATGCCTGGCTAATTAAAAAAATTTTTTTTGTAGAAACAGGGGTCTTGTCATGTTGCCCAAGCTGTTCTTGAACTCCTGGGCTCAAGTGATCCTCTCACCTTAGCATCCCCAAATGCTGGAATTACAGATGTGAGCCACTGTGCTCGGTACCTTCTTTCAGTGGTGCCATATCTGACTTTGGGCCAACACCCCCACACAGCCTGGAAACATTTAGGATTTGGTGCTTGGAGATCAGAGGTGTCCCTAGGAGCAGAACCTGCCTCAATCTAGCTCTGGCTTTGGTCCTGGGGAAGCTGTATCCTCCAACCTTACTTTGTCTTCCTTCCCTGATCTGATCCCACTGACCAGCACCTTATCGATGAGGTTGCTTAAAGTAAATCACCATTCCATTGAGAGAGGCAGTGAATCAAAATAAGAGGGAATTAACAAATTAGTAAATGGGGAAGCATCCCAAATCCACCAACCAGCAGGCAAAACCAGCCCAGTAAAATGGATAAATAAGGCCCAGCTGTTTCTTTGAACAACCACAAGAGATGAATCTATACCATTGAGAATGAGAAAGGAGGCCGGGCGCTGTGTCTCACGCCTGTAATCCCAATGTTTTGGGAGACCGAGGCAGGAGGATGGAGAGAGACCAGGATTTTGAGACCAGCTTGGGCAACATGGTGAAATCCTGTTTCTGCAAAAAATTTAAAAAGTAGCTGGGTATAGTGGCGCATGCCTGTGGTCCCAGCTACTCGTTTGAGCCTGGGAAGTTGAGACTGCAGCCAGCTGTGATTGTGCTACTGCACTCCAGCCTGGGCAACACAGTGAGACCCTGTCTCAAAAAAAAAAAAAAAAAAAAAAAGGCTGAGATGGGAGTGATAGACGCAGATACGGGGGGCATCCCACATAATGGAGAGCGTCCAAGGCCATACTATACTGCAGAAGTAGGGTGCTGATATTTGTGAGCTATTTGTGGCACCCTGCTCATATCAGTGGTCTGACTTTTTCAAATGTGGCTTCTTTCAAGAGGCACCTTGATTAGACTCTTGAGTCATTTTCGAGACATTAGCTGCCCCTGGCATGAAATTGCAGTGTGGCCCATAGATTTTCCAGGAAAAAAAAAAAAAGATTGAGGAAACAGATCTACTGCTGCCAACTTTTTGTCAAGCAAGTGCATTAAAAACAAAGCAGAGCAATATTTATCAACCCCTGTCAGTGTTTATCTCATAAAAGATTGGCAATTTTAGAGCAAACAAGCAGAAAGGACATACTCTCTGAATAAGGAGTAGTCTTCGTTTGATTTATTTTTTTTGAGATAGTCTGCTCTGTTACCCAGGCTGGAGTACAGTGGCATGATCTTGGCTCACTGCAACCTCCGCCTCCCAGGTTCAAGTGATCTTCCTGCCTCAGCCTCCCTGGTAGCTGGGATTACAAGTGTGCGCCACTATACCCGGCTATTTTTTTTTTCTTTTGGTAATTTTAATAGAGACGGGGTTTCACCATGTTGGCCAGGCTGGTCTTGAACTCCTAACCTCAAGTGATCTGTCCACCTCAGCCTCCCAAAGTGCTAGGATTACAGGTGTGAGCTACTGTGCCTGGCCGAAGAGTAGTCTTTAATAAGTACATCTAGTTATAGATGCGCTCTAAAGTGTTCTCGCCAGGCGCAGTGGCTTGTACCTGTAATGCCAGCACTTTGGGAAGCCGAGGCAGGAGGATTGCTTGAGCCGAGTTTGAGACCAGCCTGGGCAACCTGGTGAGACCCTGTCTCTGCAAAAAATATAAAAAATTAGCTGGGCATGGTGGTGCATGCCTGTAGTTCCAGCCTCTCAGAAGCTGAGGTGGGAGGATTGCTTGAGTCCAGGTGAGGCTATAGTGAGCTGTGATCACACCACTGCACTCCAGCCTGGGTGGCAGAGTGAGACCCTATCTCAAACAAAACAAAACAAAAGAAAACAGAACAAATTTCTAGCAGTTTAGAAAGAGGGGATGGGATATGGGAAGTAAAAACCTCTCCCTACCATTCTTCCTAGATATAAACATTTTTAGCTTTTTTTTTCTTTTTTTTTTTTTTGAGGGGGAGTCTTGCTCTGTTGCCCAGGCTGGAGTGCAGTGGCCGGATCTCAGCTCACTGCAAGCTCCGCCTCCTGGGCTCACGCCATTCTCCTGCCTCAGCCTCCCGAGTAGCTGGGACTACAGACGCCCGCCACCGCACCTGACTAATTTTTTTGTAGTTTTAGTAGAGACAGGGTTTCACTATGTTAGCCAGGATGGTCTCAATCTCCTAACCTTGTGATCAACCCGCCTCAGCCTCCCAAAGTGCTGGGATTACAGGCGTGAGCCACCGTGCCTGGCCTTTTAGCTCATTCTTCCAGAAATTTCTATGCATAAAGAGGCCTAAACCTTCTTCCATATATATAAATGTAGAGGCGTATGTGGTGTGTGATGCATTTACATATGGGCTTAGCCTGTGCCTACCATTTGGACTTCTCTACTTTTTTTTGAACTTCATCTCTGACCTCTTTGCTCATCAGCACATCAGCCCACCACGGCGTGTGTGATTATTGTATCAGGCCCCTAACGGTGGGCGTTTTGGGAAGGCCCATCTTTTCTGGCTTTGGAGAAAAGTCCTGCTGTGAAGAAGGGCCCTTATGCCCATCTCTGCAGGGCTGTATGAGCATCCGGCCAGGGAATGGGTTACTAACCGCTGCCCGTCTCCGGGGCCTCAGTGCCGAGGCCTTGGCGGAGCCCACCCTTGCTAGAAGGGGCAGCTCTCACCAGGTGTGCCCTGGAGGAGGCCACTGGCCACTCAGTTACTACTGGGGCTCGCGACTGCACAGTTTTTTTGGTTTTATGCAGTTTGTCCAAGGTCTCCTTTAATCCACTGCCAGCTTTTATCATGAGGGATCTGCAGATTGGGCCCTGTTATAATCTTCCTCCCATCATCACATTCATCAGGTCTCCTCAAACTCCTACCTTCTCAGATTTTTTTTTTTTTTTTTTAATGAGATAGCATCTTGCTCTACTGCTTGGACTGGAGTACAGTGGTACGATCATAGCTCACTGCAGCCTCGACCTCCTGGGCTTACACAATCCTCCCACCTTAGCCCCAGCCTCCTGTGACTATAGGCGAGCACCACCACACCTGGTTAATTTATTTTGTATTTTTTATAGAGAGGGGGGTCTCACTTTGTTGCCCAGGCTGGTCTCATACTCCTGGCCTCAAGTGATCCTCCCACGTTGGCCTCCTAAAGCACTGGGATTACAGGCATGAGCCACTGCGCCATCCCCTCTCAGATTCTTGATGAGACAAATACTTGGTGAGTGCATAATATGTGTTCTCTTCTGGCACATGCCACAGCAGTCTTCTGAAGGGGGAGTCACTCTACCCGTTTTACAGATGAGAAAACCGAGGCCCCGAGAGGTAAAGCAGTTTGCCCAAAGGAACACAACCAAGAAGGGATTTACCCAGGGATTCAGACCAAGTCGGAGGGACCCCAAACCCAAACTCTTTGTCTTCCATTGTCCTTGAAATTTAAAATCTTAGTTTTTTTCTGTCCTTATCTGTGATACGTGAATCATTAGCCCGAGGTTCATGGCTGTCATCTGCATTTGATAAGAACTATACCTCCTTGTCCCCAACACTCCCCCGCAAACCTGAGTTGAGTTAGAGGCGCAGAACATGCACTCAAGAATGTTAGTCTCAGCTCTGCTGCTCACCTGCTGCGTGACCTTGGACAAATCACTTCATCTCACTGTGTTATGTGGGAGCCTCGGTTCCCTACATCTGTAAAATGGGGAGAATAAAACCCATGTCATAGGGTTGTTGGAATAATTTTTTTTTTTAGACAGAGTCTTACTCTGTCACCCCGGCTGGAGTATAGTGGTACAATCTTAGCTTTGTGTAACCTCCCAGGTTCAAGCGATTCATGCCTCAGCCAGCAGAGTAGCTGGGACTACAGGCATGCACCACCACACCCAGCCTGGGAGGCTGGAGGCTGCAGTGAGCCAAGATCATGCCACTGCACTCCAGCCTGGGTGACAGAGCAAGATGCTGTCTCAAAAAAAAACCAAAACAAAACAAAACAAAAAAAACCCCCAAAAAACCGTGGTACAGTGGCCTTAAGCTACTGTAAAGTAGCTTCACAAAGTGCCTATAATCCTAGCACTTGGGGAGGCTGAGGTGGGCGGATCTCTTGTGGCCAGGAGTTCAAGACCAGCCTGGCCAACATGGTGAAACCCTGTCTCTACTAAAAATACACAAATTAGCTGGGTGTGGTGACTCACACCTGTAATCCCAGCTACTCCGGAGACAGGCAGGAGAATCACTTGAATCCAGGAGCCAGAAGTTGCAGTGAACTGAGATCATGCCAGTGTCCTCCAGCCTGGGGAACAGCCAGACTCTGTCTCAGGGGAAAAAAAAAAAAAAAAAAGTAGTCTCAGACCCCATCGCAGAACTGATGAGAATCTGCCTTGTAACCAGGCCTTCAGGTGACCTGCATATGCAGCAGAGGTTGAGAAGCGCTCCTTCAGAGGAGTGGGAGCCAGCCTGCCTGGAAGTGAATCCTGCCCCTGCCAACTCTGTGACCTTTCAGGTGTATCCACTAGTACTGGGCAGCAGTGCTGTGTGATAAAGCAGCCCCAACCCAAGGGCTTCAACCAACAACCTTAATCCTCATGGATTCGTGGGGCTGCTGAGGCAGCTGTACTTCATGTTGCAGCTCTACAGACCTGGTGTGCTTGTGTGGCTCTCATATCCCTGGGACCAGTGGGCTGGCTGGGGCTTGTTCTTCCCATGGTGATGGCAGAGGCACAAAGGGGCAAGTGAGGCTTCCTGAAGGCTAATCTTATAACCAGCATGCTGTCACTTCCATCCACATCCCATTGGCCAAAGCAGGTCATGTGACACAACCAGGCCCAAATGAAGGAGCAGGGAAGGATACTTGGCCATTGGTGGAGGACTGTAGTCTCCTGGCAGAGGGCATGGACATAGGGGTGGGGGTGGCATGTGACATAAGTCTGTGTGTTAATTTCCTCCTCTTCTGCAAAAGGGACAAGATGGGGACGATAACGTTGCCTACCTTATAGGATTATAGGATTATCACAGGGACTCAATGAGTTAATAGACATGAAAGTGACTAGAACATGGCTTGGCACAGAGCTAACATCTCATCCTCAATGGATGTTAGCTGGTGTTATTGTGGGTGAGGGAATGTAGATGAGTCCTGCATTTTTGGGGGAGGCTGTTTGTCAATATCTACAAAATCAAAAATGCATGTGCCCTTTGAGCCAGTAGTTCCTCTTGGAGGGATTTAATCCTGCAAGCTCACAAAGATGGACAGACGGACATTCAAGTGAGAGTCTACTGACCACTGTATTGTTTTCGTAGTATAAGCCTGGAGATGCCGTGTGTCTAGCTGGGGGCCTCTGCCACTGACGGATTGTCCCCTCCTTCCCCCTCCAGGTGGGCCTTTCTGGAGCTGGGCACGAGTGGCGGATACAATGACAGCTTGCAGGCCTATGCAGCCGGCGTGGTGGAGGCTGCTGTGTCGGAGGAGGTAAGGGCCAAGGTGGGGACATGGGGCTCCCACCCTCCCCCACCCCCACCAGTGTGTTCCCCAGCGTGCTTTTGAGATGTGTGCAGAGTAGGCCCCCCAACTCCTGCCATAGCCCTCCATCTATTTGGGGGAAAAAAGTGGACACGTATTCTTTAGAAAATTACATTAGGGGCCAGCCACTGCGCCTGGCTCTCACCCACTTCTAATATTGTCTGACTTCTTTTTTTTTTTTTTTTTTAATTTTTTGAGACAGAGTCTTGCTCTGTAGCCCGGGCTGGACTGCAGTGGCCAGATCTCAGCTCACTGCAAGCTCCGCCTCCCGGGTTTACGCCATTCTCCTGCCTCAGCCTCCGGAGTAGCTGGGACTACAGGCGCCCGCCACCTCGCCCGGCTAGTTTTTTTTTTTGTGTTTTTAGTAGAGACGGGGTTTCACCATGTTAGCCAGGATGGTCTCGATCTCCTGACCTCGTGATCCGCCCGTCTCGGCCTCCCAAAGTGCTGGGATTACAGGCTTGAGCCACCGCGCATGTCTGACTTCTTATAAAGCTCAATAACAAGTAAAGCAAAATAATACGTTGTTCAGGGACTCAACGCATGCAGTAAAAGTAGCTTAACAAAAGTAACGGAGTGGGCCGGGCGCGGTGGCTCAAGCCTGTAATCCCAGCACTTTGGGAGGCCGAGACGGGCGGATCACGAGGTCAGGAGTTCGAGACCATCCTGGCTAACACGGTGAAACCCCGTCTCTACTAAAAAATACAAAAAACTAGCCGGGCGAGGTGGCGGGCGCCTGTAGTCCCGGCTACTCGGGAGGCTGAGGCAGGAGAATGGCGTAAAAACCCGGGAGGCGGAGCTTGCAGTGAGCTGAGATCCGGCCACTGCACTCCAGCCTGGGCGATACAGTGAGACTCCGTCTCAAAAAAACAAAAAAAAAAAAACAAAACAAACAAACAAAAAAGTAACGGAGTGGAAACAACTGGAATGCCCCGCTGCCGATGAATGGATACATGAAATGTGATCTATCATACAATGCAACATTATTCGGCTGTAAAAGGGAATGAAGGACTGACACATACCAGAACATGAAAGAACCTTGAAAACATGCTAAACGAAAAAAGCCAGTCACAAAAGGGCACATACTCTGATTCTATTTATATAAAATGTTCAGAATAAGCAAATCTACAGAGACAGAAAGCCGACTAGTGGGTGCCAGGGACTTGTGGGGAGTGAGGAGTGACTGCTGATGGATATGGGGTTTCTTTCTGGGATGATGAAGAGGTTCTGGAGTTAGAGAGTGGTGATGGTTGCACATCGTTATGAATACATTACAAACCATGAATTGTACTTTTTTTTTTTTTTTTGAGACAATCTTCCTCTGTCACCCAGGCTGGAGTGCAGTGGTGTGATCTCAGCTCACTGCAACCTTTGCTTCCCAGGTTCAAATGGTTTTCCTGCCTCAGCCTCCCGAGTAGCTGGGATTACAGATGTGCACCACCATGCCCACCTAATTTTTGCATTTTTAGTAGAGGTAGGCTTTCACCCTGTTGGCCAGGCTGGTCTCAAACTCCTGACCTCAGGTGATCTGCCCATCTTGGCCTCCCAAAGTGCTGGGATTACAGGCATGAGACACTGTGCCCAGCAAAATTGTGCATTTTTAAATGGTGAATTTTATGGTATGCTGACTATATCTCAATATAAATGAATGAATGAAAGGGCTTGAAAGCTACCACATTTAGGGTGGTGGGTGCTTCTAGGGGTAGAGGAGGCAGGGGCTTAGGGGATGCTCAATGGTATCAGTAACATTCTAGGTTTTAGTTTGGATGTTCATTTTATTATCATGCTTCATAACTTAGAATATGTTATATATTTTTTCTGTGTATCAGATAGTACCTAGTGTAATTTTCTTTTTCTTTTCTTTTTTTTTTTTTTTTTTGAGACATAGTCTCGCTCTGTCACTGAGGCTGGAGTACAGTGGCGTAATCTCAGCTCACTGCAATCTCTGCCTCCCTGGGTTCAAATGATTCTCATGCCTCAGCCTCTGGAGTAGCTGGAATTACAGGCATACACCACCATGCCTGGCTAGTTTTTACATTTCCAGTAGAGATGGGGTTTTGCCATGTTGGCCAGGCTGGTCTCAAACTCCTGACCTCAAATGATTTGCTTGCCTCGGCTTTCCAGAGTGTTGGGATTACAGGTACGAGCCACCTGGCCTAGGCTAGCCAGACATGCTAACAGGCACTGATGATGACTTTACAGAGACAGCCTGTCATATGTACCTCACAGTAAACACCTGACGTTTTCCAGGGAATGCATAAATTACTGACTTTTCCGTTGATGGCCTAACCAGCAGCCCAAAGGCAGAGCACCTGCCTGTAATCCCAGGACACTGGGAGACTGAGGAGCGAGGATTGCTTGAGCCCAGGAGTTGGAGGCTGCAGTGAGCTAGGATTGTACCACTGCACTCCAGCCTTGTGACAGAATGAGACCTTGTCTCAAAAAAACAAAACCAAACCACACAAAAAACAAAACAAGAAATAGGCAAAGCTGTGGAGTGACAGCTGTCTCCCATGCTGCAGATGGAGGCATGCATTGGGTCACCCAAGTTGGAAAATAATTTGACATCAACTTATGGAGTTGAACCTGCATGCGCCCTAGGACCCAGCAGCCCTGCTACTTGGGTGTATACCCTAGAGGTGACCCACAGATGTGCATGAGGTGCTCATAGGAGCCCCAAAGTGGGAGTCCTTAAAACACCACCGGCAGGTGAGTGGCTAACCAGTTGGAGGTACACAGTGCAGCGTGACAGAGCAGTGGAAATGAATGAATCTGAGATGCCTGGAGGCGAAGGGGAAAGAGCGCATCACAGAGGCCAGCGTCCAGTGGGACACCGTTTTATAAAACTCACGCTGCTCCTTCTGCCACCCAGTCACAGCTGTGGGTGGCCCTCTGGGTCCTTAGTGTCTGAGGAAGTGGTCAGATGCTGGGCCGGGGCTGTTTTGGGTGCTCAGTGGTGAATGAGACATGGTTCAGTCTCTCAAGGGGCTCACAGCCTCCTGGGGACACTGAGGCAAGGGCACAAGTGGCTCTCATGTCAGGAATCCCAGGCCCATGTGCCAGGCACTGTGCCCACAATGTCTCACTGAGCCTCCACCCTAACCCTCTGAGGGAAGCATGTGTACCTCCCTTGATGGATGGGCAGGCTTGGGCCCAGAGAGGTGAAGCTGCTTTCCCGAGGTCAGCCAGCCTGTCTGCAGAGGAGGCACCATTCAACCTCAGCTCTGTCTAACCCGCGTCTGGCTCCTAACTGGTGTGCCCTGCTGCCTCCCCCTCCAGCCTGTGGGCTTCTTGTGGGTGGTAATATGTCTTGTCCCCAGCTATGTCCCCTGATCCCAGCCCAGAACGTGGTATAGGACAGGCAGTGGGGAAATGCTGTGGAAGTCATGCAGTCCTGCATGGAGGAGGTGGTGTCTTAGTGGGCCTTGAAGGATGAACAGGATTTGGATGTGTTTCAGTGAGATGGTGATGGAGCAGCAGTCATGAAGCCATCAATCCTGAGACAGTGAGTGCTGCCACTCACTCATGGGGATGACCAGGCTATGTGGTCTTTTGTCCCCCAGCAGGCGAGCCTGGACTCATGCAGGTGGCATCTCGGTGGGAAGTGCAGAGGGCCGCATGAGGTCTGGGTGAAACTGGCACGGCATTCTCTTGCCCAGTGGAGTCAGCAGGGGTATTGCTGTTTTGTTCCCTGCTATGTCTTCAGTGCTTAGAATGGAACATAATAGGTGCTCAGATAAAACATTCATGGATTGACTAACTGAACATGCATATAGATTGGGGTCCCCAGTAGCAGAGGTAGTGCCATCAGTTATAGGCTTTGCAGGCTAAAGGCTCTCAGGGCAACTTCCAGGGGCCTGGGGTCCCTAGCAGGGGCAGAGCTGGGCAGGGAGAGGAACCTCCAGGGACAGGACAGTGTGAGCAAGGGCTCAGGTGGCCACACCAGCAGCCTCCGCTCTGGGGCAGCCTGGGTGGGGGGCTCTCAGGGAAGAGAGCACCCTAGCTGCCCACCCCCACCTCGCCCACCCCCTACCCCGCAGCTCATCTACATGCACTGGATGAACACGGTGGTGAATTACTGCGGCCCCTTTGAGTACGAAGTCGGCTACTGCGAGAGGCTGAAGAGCTTCCTGGAGGCCAACCTGGAGTGGATGCAGGAAGAGATGGAGTCAAATCCAGACTCAGCTTACTGGCACCAGGTGAGTCCAGCTGCCACGCTCGGTGGGAGGAGGCTTCCAGCTGGCCAGCCATCCTGTCCCCTGCTGTCCTGGCCAGCCTTGTGGCATGTCCAGCTGCCCAGCTGCCCCTGTGTCCATCATCATCTCCATCCCTCCTAGCCGACCTGCCACTCATCCATCTGCCCAGTCTCCATCTGTCCACTTGCTGGAACTCCATCCATCCATCCTAGCCTACCTACTGTCAAAGAATGATCAAAAACAAATAGTCAATTGTTAGCACGGTGTTTTACTTGCATACATATGGCGTTTTACTTGTATACTTGCTTGGTAGATTGATTACGTTGGATGCAAGTAAAGACGGTATGAGAAAGAGGGGAAGGGGAAAACCAGAAAGTCCCCAAAAGTCTGGACATGGTGAACTTTGTTTTTCTTTCCTTGAGTGAGCTGCTGATCAGCTGGCTGCTAACAGAGAGGCCCAGGCAGGCGCTCTGCCTTTGGGCCACTGGCTAGGCCTTCACTGGAACAGTCAGTTATTTATGGATTCCCTGGAAAATGTCAGGTGTTTACTGTGAGGTACACGACAGGCTGTCTCTGTAAAGTGGCCATCAATGTCTGTTAGCATGTCTGCCTAGCCTAGGCCAGGTTTGCACCATTTTCCTCTGTAGAACTTCTCATGGTGCGCCCACCCACCTACTCACACTGTAAGACAGGCTTTTCTACCACCAACCCACCTACTTGTCCGTTCCGCACAGCCACCACCCATGCATCCATCCATCCATCCATCCATCCATGCATCCATTCATCCACCCATCCACCCACTCACCCATCTACCTATCCATCTGTTCACTCACTCATCCGTCCATTCATTTACCCACCCATTCATCCATCCATCCATCTATCCATCCATCCATCCATCCATCCACCCACCCACCCACCCACTCATCTACATATCTATCCATTCACTCATCCATCCATCCATCCATTTACCCACCCATTCATCTATCCATTCACCCATCTGCCCATCCATCATCCGTCCATCCACCCATATATACATACATATATCCACCCACCCACCCACCCACTCATCCACCTCCCGCCTGTCAACCCACCCACCTACCCATCCATCCATCCATCCATCTACCCACCCATCCATCCAACAACCCACCCATCCATCTTGCAGATGCTTACTAAGTGCTCAGTGTACCTGGCCAAGGCCCCATGAGGGCCACAATGATAGTACTTCATGGTTATAGGGTGTTGAGGCAAAAGAATGACAATGGGGAGAAGTCAGATGCATGAGACAGGTACCCGAGGCAGCAATACAGTCAGTACTGAACTCAGAACAGGAGCAGTTGGCAAGAGGCCAGGCTAGGCTTGGAGGCGTCCTAGAAAAGATGACTTTTAAACTAGGCTCTTAAGTGGGGCTGATTTGGGGTTAACACAGGGCAGAGACATAGAGTTAATTTCTTGAAAGCAGGAGAGTGCTCATCATGGAGGGGTGGGTGGTAGTTTGGGGCAGTCAAGGCTGGCTGGAGTCTGGAGGGTACCCCTGGGCCTCCTGCTCTGTCTGAACCCCCAGGCCAGAGCCCCTCCCATTGAAGGAGAAGGTGTGAGCCTGGAGGAGAGGCCTCACCCTCCCTCTGCCCCTGCCCCCTCCCCTAGGTGCGGCTGACCCTCCTGCAGCTGAAAGGCCTGGAGGACAGCTACGAAGGCCGTGTGAGCTTCCCAGCTGGGAAGTTTACCATCAAACCCTTGGGGTTCCTGTAAGTGCCCCCCCCAGAGTGGACAGGGTGGGAAGAAGGGCCACACACTCATAGTCGGACAGACCTGGGTTCCAGCGTCAACCCTGCCACTGCCTGGCTCTGTGGCCTTGGAGCAGTCAGCTGACCTCCTAGAGCCTCAGCTTTCTCCTCTGCAAAATGGGTACAAAACAGCAGGCATGGTAACCCTCTGGTGCCCTGGCCCTCCTCAGCCTGCTACAGCTCTCTGGGGACCTGGAAGACCTGGAGCTGGCCCTGAACAAGACCAAGATCAAACCTTCTCTGGGCTCCGGCTCCTGCTCCGCCCTCATCAAGCTGCTCCCTGGCCAGAGTGACCTCCTGGTTGCCCACAATACCTGGAACAACTACCAGCACATGCTGCGTGTCATCAAGAAGTACTGGCTCCAGTTCCGGGAAGGCCCCCAGGGTAGGTGGGTGTGGGTGTGTCTGGGTGATGAACGAGTGGGTGGGCACGCACGTGGGGAGTGGTCCTAGGAGTTGTGGGCCTTGGAAACCCTCCCAACATACAGAGTCACTGTAGGGACGTTCCAAGAGTTCATCTTGTTTTTGTTGTTTTTCTTTTTGAGTCAGGGTCTTGCTCTGTTGCCCAGGCTGGAGTGCAGTGGCAGTCGCGGCTCACTGCAGCCTTGACTTCCCAGGCTCAGGTTATCCTCCTGCCTCAGCCTCCCAAGTATCTGGAACTACAAGTGTGTAGCACCACACTCAGCTAATTTTTTTATTTTTAGAGATGGAGGCTCACTATATCGCCCAGGCTTGTCTCAAACTCCTGGGCTCAAGTGATCCTCCTGACTTGGCCTCCCAAAGTACTGGGATTACTTATGTGAGCCACTGCACCCAACCCCCAACCAGTTCATCTTGTTTTACATGTTTATTGCCTTTTTTATTTTACCTATTGCTGCTTACCAAGTTACCCCAACATTTTAAACAACAGCAGCTTAAATAACCACTGTGTATTTTTTTTGCTACTACCTCTATGGGTCAGCAGGGTGGTTTTGGTTTTCTGGGCTGGGCCGGGCTGATCTTGGGCTAGGCTCACTGATGCATCTGCAGTCTGCTGGCAGGTCAGCTGGGGTGGGCTGGCTGGCTTGGGATGGCCTCTTCTCCTGCCTGGGGTTGATTGTCAGCCAGGGTGATGGGGACAGCCGGGCTATGTGGTCTTTCATCATCAGCAGGTGAGCACAGGCCTGTTCGTGTAGCATCGGGGCAGGATGTGGTGAAGGCCTCTTGAGGCCTTGGTGAAACTGACACAGCATTCTTTTCTTTTCATTTTGAGACAGAATCTTGCTCTGGTGCCCAGGCTGGGGTGCAATGGCATGATCTCAACTAACTGCAACCTCTGCCTCCAGGGTTCAGGCAATTCTTCTGCCTCAGCCTCTTGAGTAGCTGGGACTACAGGCGTGCATCACCATGCCCAGCTAATTTTTGTATTTTTAGTAGAAACAGAGTTTTCCCATATTGGCCAGGCTGGTCTTGAACTCCTGACCTCAAGTGATCTGCCCACTTTGGCCTCTCAAAGTACTTGGATTACAGGTGTGAGCCACCACACCTGGCTTGACACAGTATTATTATTATTATTATTATTGTTATTTTTGAGACAGAGTCTTGCTCTGTCACCTAGGCTGGAGTGCAGTGGCACAATCTCAGCTCACTGTGACCTCTGCCTCCCACGTTCAAGTGATTCTCTGCCTCAGCCTCCCAAGTAGCTGGGATTATAGAAACGTGCCACTGTGTCCGGCTAATTTTTGTATTTTTAGTAGAGATGGGGTTTTGCCATGTTGGCCAGGCTGGTCTTGAACTCCTGACCTCAGGTGATACAGCCGCCTCGGCCTCCTAAAGTACTGGGATTAAAGATGTGAGCCACCGTGCCTGGCTGACACAGCATTCTTTACCCAAATCAAGTCAGGTGGCCAGCCCAGACTCCAGAGATGGGAGAAAAGGCTCCACCATTTGCTGTGAGGAACTGCAGAGTCACATTGCACATGGCTTGGATGCAGGCATGGGAAGAATTAGAGCTGTTTTTGCAAACAACCAATTACAAAGAGTGCATGAATGCATTCTTCCTGTTAAATGTGAAAACTGGCTGGGCACAGTGGCCCATCCCTGTAATCCCAGCGCCTTGGGAGTTTGAAGCAGGAGGATTGCTTGAGCCCAGGAGGTCGAGGCTGCAGGGAACAGTGATCACGCCACGACACCCCAGCCTGGGTGACAGTGCAAGACCTTGTCTCTAATAAAGAAAAAAATAGTTTACAGTCAAGGTCAAAGTCCTCTATAGTGCCATATCCTTCATCCCAGGCCCCAGCATCAACCCCAGGGATACCACTGCCAAATGTTTGCAGTCCTCCTTCTTAGCCAAATGTAAAAACTTGATGGGACCGGGAGGTGGGGAAGTGTCCAGCCTTATTCATTGCTAATGGGAGTATGCATTGGCACAGGTACTTTTAAGAAGAATCCAGCTGGCATCTAATAAATTTCAAACTCTGTCACTCCAGTGATCCAGCAATTCTCCGACTCCAGTCTGTCCCTAGAGAGACATTTCAGCTTCTGCATGGGGAGTGTGTATAAGCAAGTCTGCTGTCACAGTGGTTTGGTAACAACCTAATGTCCATTCGTTGAAATTTAAGTAAACTCTAAATTGACATTTATACAGGAAATCGTGTACACCGTAAGTGTCCAACTTGAATTTCTTGCATATGGAACACCTGTATATAGCATCCATCTGGAGAAACAGAACATTCCCTGCCCCTAGAAGCTTCTCTCGTATCCGTTTCCAGACACACCCCACCCCAGCATCATCTCTATCCTGATTTCTGTTTTTTTTTTTTTTTTTTTTGAAACAGAGTCTTGCTCTGTCACCCAGACTAGAGGGCAGTAGTGCAGTCTCGGCTCACTGCAACCTCCACCTCCTGGGTTCAAGCAATTCTTCTGCCTCAGCTTCCTGAGTAGCTGGGGTTACAGGCACACACCACCACACCCAGCTAAGTTTTGTATTTTTAGTAGAAATGGGGTTTCACCATGTTGGCCAGGCTGGTCTTGAACAGCCGACGTCAAGGGATCCAACTGCCTATCCTGATTTCTCACAGTGTAGGTTAGGTTTGCCTGGTTTTGAATGTCATGTGAACGGAATTGTGTAGTGTGTGCTCATTTGTTCTGCATGTCTGTGAGATTCATCTGTATTACTGTGTGTAGCTGTAGGTCTATCATTCTCATTGCTGTTTACCCATTAAAATTTTAATAGCTTTTAAAAACTGCGTAAGTCATACAGGTATGTTATAGAACATTGGAGAATCCACCAAAACACTCTCACAATGAAAATCACTCGAACATTCGGGTTTCGAATAACCCGAAAGAGAAAATTTCTGCGAACATTTGGTTATGTTTTCTCCTAGACTTTAAAAAAGGTACCTTGCCTGGCACAATGGCTCATGCCTGTAAACCCAGCACTTTGGGAGGCTGAGGCAGGTAGATCACTTGAGGCCAGGAGTTCAAGACCAGCCTGGCCAACATGGTGAAACCCCATCTCTACTAAAAATACAAAAATTAGCTCGGTGTGGTGGCGCACACCTGTAATCCCAGCTACTCGGGAGGCTGAGGCCCCAGAATTGCTTGAACTGTGAAGGCAGAGGTTGCAGTGAGCCAAGATGGTGCCACTGTACTCCAACCTGGGCAACCGAGTGGGCCTCCGTCTTAAAAAAACAAAAAATTTTGCAAGGGTGGGCTTCATGCATGGAATGGGGTGCTATACCCATCATTGTAATATTATACAGAGTAGTTTCACTGCTCTAAAATGTTTGCTGAGTTTTTTTAAAAGCATAGTTAAGATTATACCATGCGAATTATTTGCAACTTCCTTCTTTTGACCACTAGGCTGCCTTGGAGAGTTGCTGGTACTGCCTTTTGGTCCACCACGTGTTTTGTTTTTCAAATTATTTATTGATTTTGAGATAGGGTCTCGCTGTGCTACCCAGGATAGTCACAAACTTCTAGCCTCAGGTGATAGTCCTGCCTCAGTCTCCCAAAGCACTGGGATTTCAGATGTGAGCCACTGCGCTGGGTCCCACTGTGCTTTTTTCCTTTTCTTTTCTTTTCTTCTTTTTTTTTTTTTTTTTTTTTTTTTATTGAGACAGAGTCTTACTCTGTTGCCCAGGCTGGAGTTCAGTGATACAATCTTGGCTCACTTCAACCTCCACCTCCCAGGTTTAAGCTACTCTCCCACCTCAGCCTCCTGAGTAGCTGGGACTACAGGCATGCACCCCCCTGCCTGGCTATGATATGGGGTTTCACCATATTGGTGAGGCTGGTCTCAAACTCCTGGCCTCCTGACCTTGGCCTTCCAGAGTGCTGGGATTACAGGCGTGAGCCACCGTGCCCAGCCTAGTGGTCCCTTTCTTTTAAAGTGCAAAGACTTAATATAGAATAGATAATTCAGGCTGGATGCCGTGGCTCATGCCTACAATTGCAGCACTTTGGGAGGCCGAGGCTGGTGGGTCACTTGAGGTCAGAGTTCGAGACCAGCCTGGCCAACATTGTAAAACCCTGTCTCTACTAAAAATATAAAAATTAGCTGGACGTGATGGTGGATGCCTGTAATTGCAGCTACTCAGGAGGCTGAGGCAAGAGAATCACTTGAACCCAGGAGGCAGAGGTTGCAGTGAGCCAAGATCCCCCCACTGCACTCTAGCCTGGGCAACAGAGCAAGACTCTCTCAAAAAAAAAAAAAAAAAGAAAAAAAACAAACCAAAAAAATCACACAAAGGATAATTCAGAGAGCTACACACAGAAGTCTGGAGCACTGGAGGGAAGAGGCCTGGGTAAATCCCTGTTCAGCTATTTAACTGTTTGGCCTCTGCTAAGTTACTTAGCCTTTCTGAGTCTCAGATTTCCTTATCTGCAAAGTGGAGATGATAATTCCCTACCCCCATATGCAGGGCGGTTGTAAGGAGTCAATTTACAAGATCACAGGGGTAATAAGCTTCCAGCATAAGCGTGAGGTCACGGTAGTCCTGCCGGAGACAGTGCGTAAAACCAGACTAGTACTTGTCAAGGGATAGGCTTCAGGTAGAAGGAATTCTAGGGCAGGAGTGAGGGTACCTGCAGGGGGTGGGCCTGTAATCGCAGCTACTTGGGAGGTTGAGGCAGGAAAAGCACTTACAACTGGGAAGTGGAGGTTGCAGTGAGCTGAGATCGCCCCACTGCACTCCAGCCTGGGCAATGAGAGCGAAACTCTGTCTCAAAAAAAAAAAGAGTCCAGTGAACAAAATACCTGTTTGTGTATCTGACTGTATATATTTAACACACATGCACATATGCACACACACAGAGTTGTCCCTCAGTTTTGGGGAGGGAGTTGGCTCCAGGAGCCCTTGTGGAAGCTCAGGTCTCTTCTGTAACACGGCCGACTGTTTACCTATAACCTATGCATATCCTCCATATCCTATAATCTCTACTTATAATACCTAATACAATGTAAATGCTATGTTAATAGTTGCTATACTGTATTTTAAAAATTTATATTCTCTTTTAGTGTTTTTCTTTTTAATCATGTTTTTTTCTTAGTATTTTTGGTCCTCAGTCAATTGAATCCAAGGCTGTGGAACCCAAGGACGTGGAGGGCCAGCCATAGAAGTTTGCTACTGGCTTTTATTTTTACTTGCACACATATGCACTTTTCTATGCCCGGTGACCTCAGTTGCTAAATGTCAAAAAGGACACAGTGGGGGCTTCGTCAGAGGCCTGCCTGTGCCCCACCTTGAGACCTGAGTCTTGTTAGGTAGGGTGCAGGGGCCTCCACCTGGGCCTGTCTGATCAGCATCCCTGGCTCGCTCTCCCCGCACAGGGGACTCCCCGCTGGTTCCCGGCAACAAACTGGTCTTCTCCTCCTACCCCGGCACCATCTTCTCCTGCGACGACTTCTACATCCTGGGCAGCGGGCTGGTGAGTCCCCTTCTCTCGTCTCCTCCGTTCCTGGGGTGTTTGTCACACAGCGGCTCTGAGCCGGCAGGATTGATTACTACAGCAAGTGGGGACCAGGCTGCAGCCCAGTGCTGGGTGCCATGTAGGAGCCAGGGGTGCAGCGGAGGACCAGGTGGACGCTGCCCCACCTGCCTTTCAGAGCCCAGACTCACCCTTCCCCTGCTCTGGGGACTTGGACCACCACAAGGGCGTGTTTAAATGTAGACCCCCAGGCCCCGCACAGGGCCCCCAAAACCTGCAGATGGCCTGGGACTCTGCATGTAACTCTGGTTGTCAGGAAAGGCTGGACTTGGGGATGTTTGGGACTATCCCTGACCTCAGTGACCTCACTTGTTTTTGTGTATTCAGGATGGCTGTGCCCCCGCATCCCCAACGCTTCTCTCTCCTCCCGCCTCCCTCTTGCTTTCCTCAGAGCCCCTCTGACCTGACCAGGTTTGCTGAATAGAGGCTGTTTACAGTGTGTTGTTTTCATCTTTTTTCCTGGCTGGGGTCCAGACTTGTTTAGAAATCTGTCCCTGGCACTCCTCGCTGAGAAAGTGAACCCTTTGATCTCCAGGGCAACGCTACAGAGGAGAAAAAACATCACTCTAAAAAACACCCTTAGCACAGAGAACGCCAGCTCCCTGCGGGGATGGGAGGGGCAGGGACTCTTCTTCTTGTCTGATCCCTTGCTTTTCTCTGAGTGTGGAACGAGGCAAGAGAGGGCCAGGCAGTGGGTGAGGTAACCCCCATGCTGTGGCCCAGGTGGGGAAGGGGACTGAGGCAACTGGGGAGGGACACATGAAATGGTTGCACCTGATTACCAGGAAAAGGTCCAGGCAGGAAACTTCCCTTCCATCAGGGTCCCTAACTGTTTTTGTGCCATAAACCCCTTGGGCAGTCCAGGAAGCTGGTGACCCTCTTCTCAGAATAGTGTTTTAATTTTTATTATTAACTTTTTTCATAGAGATAGGATCTCGCTCTGTCACTCAGGCTGGAATGCAGTGGTGTGATCACAGCTCACTGCAACCTCCCACCTCCTGGGTTCAAGCGATCCTCCCACCTCAGCCTCCTGAGTAGCTGGGACTATAGGCACATGCCACCATGCGCAGCTAATTTTTAAATTTCTTGTAGAGATGAGGTCTCACTATATTTCCCAGGCCATTCTCGAATTCCTGGGTTCAGGAGATCCTCCTGCCTCAGCTTCCCAAAGTGCTGCGATGATAGGTGTGAGCCACTGTGCCTGGCAGAGTAGTATTTTTAGATGCATAAACCAAAATGTGTAGGATTATGGAGGAAACCAATTACAGTGAAATATAGTTATCAAAACATAAGTAAACTTTTAGTATATATGTGCTGCTTTATTAACACACTGAATAATAAGATCCATAGCAGGTGTGATAAATACCGTAAGTTAGAAGAAGCAAGGTGCATGCATGATACTTTAAGGTATGTACAGCCTTGTAATCTGATGGAAAAACATCTGTGATTTCTGATAGTGACAGTCCCAGTGACTGCTAATACCATTGTGGTGTGTCAGTTAACAGTGGAAGGAAATACCAAATTTCAGGATTTTTTTTTTTTTTCAGAGATAGGATCTCACACTGTCATGCAGGCCTGAGTGCAGTGGCATGATCACAGCTCGCTGCAGCCTCTATCTCCCCGGCCTCAAGTGATCCTCCCATCTCAGCCTCCCAAGTAGCTGGGACTATAGGTGCCTGCCACCATGCCTGGCTAATTTTTTTATTTTTTGTAGAGACGGGTTTTGCCGTGTTGCCCGGGCTGGTCTCGACCTCTTGGGCTCAAGCATTCTGCCCCTCTTGGCCTCCCAAAGTGCTGGGATTACAGGCCCGAGCCACTGTGCCCAGCCCTTTTTTTCCTCTTTAAAGAGAAAAAAAAAAATCACATTTATAGATATGCTATCTTTTAGCTGTTTTCAGCTTTTTGTTGTTGTTGGTGATGGTGGGGTTTTTTGCTGTTGTTTTTTGTGGGGTTTTTTTTGTTGTTTTTTGTTTTTTGTTTTAGATAGGCTCTCTGTTGCCCAGGCTGGAGTGCAGTGGCACAATCTCAGCCCACTACAACCTCCGTCTCCCAGGTTCAAGCAATTTTCATGCCTCAGCTTCCCTAGTAACTAGGATGGCACTCCATGCCATTGCCATGGCACTCCAGCCTAGGCAAGGGTGAGACTCCATCTCAAAAAAAAAAACTCCAGCAGGGGGCGGGGCGGGTGAGACTCCATCTCAAAAAAAAAATTATGAGCCATGATCGATGAAGTACTGCCACTTGGTGGCAGCAATGCCTAGGCTCTGCAACGTCCCCTTGACCTTCCCACAGGTAACACTGAGACCACCATTGGCAACAAGAACTCAACCCCTGTGGAAGTATGAAGTGGCCCAGGGCTGTGTGCTGAGTGGGTACGCAACATTGTGGCCAACCGCCTGGCCTTGGATGGGGCCACCTGGGCAGACATCTTCAAGAGGTTCAACAGCGCACGTGAGTGGGCTTCTGGCCCTGTGGAAGCTTCTGCACCAAGAAATAGACCAACCTCCCCTTTAACACTCAGACCCCCAGGGACCAGATGTGGCACCCAGGCCACACCCCACGCCCTCCTTTGTTTCACATGGGGAGACTGAGGCTAGGGAAAGGAAAGGATTTGCCCTCCTGCAGGCTCTCAGCCTAGGGAAGGAGTGCCTTCGTGGCAGTACAGGAAGAGCACTTGGAACCTGAAGACTCTCAAGGGGACATTGGGGAGGGCTGTTTGAGGAGGTGGATAGGGTGGGTGTAGGCCTGTGAGCCAGAGACACTGGAACTGGGCAGTGCAGGTCTTACAGCATCCGGCAGAGCAGCTGACCTAGGAGCCATAGAATACTCCTGGAACAGTCAAGCAGCATGACGAGAGAGGAGTTTGTGGATACCTGGTCATGCTGCAGTGTCAAGGTGTCAGCTGAATGGGCCAGGATAGGCCCAGGCCCACTTCCTGTGATACTCTAGCTGAGGGGACACTGTGGGCAGGGAGAGCTGGGGGAGGGGCCCCAGGCCTCGCTCTCCACCCTCCTTCCTCTGCCCAGCAGGTATAACAACTAGTGGATGATTGTGACTACATGCTCATCCCGGTGGCCCAGGCCCCGAGCCGGGTGCTCACCATCCTGGAGCAGATCCCGCGATCCTGGGAGGGAGGGGTGGGGCTCGGGGCAGAGGGACTGCCAGGTGAAGGCCCAGACATGCTGGCACTGTGCAGTAAGGAACGATCCCAGGAGGTTGTGGTTGGAAGAGAAGGTGTCCTGGTGGGGCGAAGTTCAGGACTTTAATCCTTCCCCAGCCAATGGGGGAGCCATCAGGGCTCCCCGAGCAGGGCAGTGCCCACAGGAGCCCCTTTTCTGGATCACCTCCACCCCATCTTCTCTCGGTCTCAGCGGCATGGTGGTGGAAATGACAAGACTGAACTCTACCAGAAGACCTACCACAGCTATTAACATACCGTGCGTGCCTTCTCACCCCGTCCCTCGTCACCCTCCAGGGCATCCACCTTACTCCTGCCCAGCCCTTCCTGTAAGAAATATTTTTAAACCCACAGAACGAAGAATCCTGAAGCACTTCTCTGGCCAGGAGAGCCCAGACAGTTTGGCAGTGTAGTTGCGTGGCTTAGGTCAGCGGCCCATGTGACCTCTGGTTCTAACACCCAGAGCAAGGTGGTGGGATGGCCAGGCTCTCCAGGGACTGATCTCCTGCCAGGGTCTTTGTGACTGGATCTGCCTTACTGGGCTGCAAGGAGTCACACCTCCTGAGGCTTACTTACGTTACCTGCATTTTCATTTGACTTTTAAACTGCCACATGTGGTCACTAGAGTTCCTGTTCCCATCTCACAGATGATGAAACTGAGGTCTGGAGAAAGTACCTCACTTTCCCAAGTTTCCCCTGTTGGCGAATGGTGAAGGCAGGATTTGTTTTTTGTTTTGAGACAGAGTCTCACCCTGCTCACCCAGGCTGGAGTGCAATGGGTACAATCTAGCTCTACTGCAACCTCCGCCTCCCAGCTCAAACAATTCTCCTGCCTCAGCCTCCTGAGTAGCTGGGCTTACAGTCGCCAGCCACCATGCTGAGCTAATTTTTCTATTTTCAGTAGACATTTCACCATGTTGGCCAGGCTAGTCTCAAACTCCTGATCTGCTATCCACCTGCCTTGGCCTCCCCAAGTGCTGGGATTATAGGTGTAAGCCACTGCACCCAGACTGAAGGCACGATTTGAAGCTTTTCGCGTCTTTGGGCCCCAGAACCCAAGCCCTGCCACTCCACCAAGCCACCCCCCAGCACAAATAGAAAGACATTATTGTTATCCCAAATGGCATAGTTTTTTTTTTTTTTTTTTTTTTTTTTTTTTTTTTGAGACAGAGTCTCGCCCTGTTGCCCAGGCTGGAGTGCAATGGCGCAATCTCGGCTCACTGCAACCTCTGCCTCCGGGTTCAAGTGAGTCACCACCTTTAGCCTCCCGAGTAGCTGGGATTACAGGCACATACCACCGTGCCTGGCTGATTTTTGTATTTTTAGTGGAGATGGGGTTTCACCATGTTGACCAGGCTAGTCTTGAACTCCTGACCTCAGGTTATCTGCTCCCTTGACTCCCAAAGTGTTGGGATTACAGGCATGATTATCACGCTTCGTCTGAATGTCATAGTTGTAAGTGATAATGTCCTGGTGTGACTGCCTCTCCCTCCCTGGCCACAACCTTGGCTGAGTGAGGCCAGTGGGGGTCATGGGTGACCGTCCTTGTCCCCAGCAGGTCCTTCGAGACTGTGTTCAATGCCAGTGGGCTGCAGGCTCTGGTGGCCCAGCATGGGGACTGGTTTTCTTATGACGTGGAGCCCCGGGCCCAGATCTTCCGGCGGAACCAGTCCCTGGTACAAGACCTGGACTCCATGGTCAGGCTGATGAGGTAGGTGCTGGTTGGGTGGTGGGTTGGGGAGAGGGAGGCCGCAGGAACACAGAACTTCCTACAGTGTGCTCTTTGTACCAACTCATTCAAACTTTGCTACTCAGCCCCAGAGGGCCAGCAGGTGGTCAGACGCTGGACACCAGTGCAGCAGCTCGGTGGTCACAGCCCACTTGGGTCCTGTCACAGTCCCCATAGCTAAGGGAGGATGCTAGACATCCCTGAGTGACCTGTACTGCTGGGCACTATGCTTGTACCAGAAACAACAGGTAGAAAACCCAGCCCCACTGTTGTCCCTGTCTCTCTTGGGTGGTGCAGAAATCCATCAAGTTCTTGCACTGGTGTCAATGTGTAGCATGGCTGTGTTCCAAGAGAGGCTATCCGGGACAAGCGGTGCCTCACCTGGCTGGGGCGGTGGCATGGGAGTTCTTCCCTGAGGATGGTGCCTGGAGCAGAGCTGGAATAATGGAGGCAGAGTGACTTAGTGGAGGGTCCGGGCCCAGGCAGAGGAACTGTCGGGGCAAATGCGGTGGAGGGGCTCATCAGGCTGAAGGCTGGCGGCTGTTAACCGGGCTGCTCCCGAGGATTTGGGGCCCTGTCTTAACCTCTCCTTCCTGGGATGACTGATGTTCCCTCCTTTTCCCCCATCCAGGTACAATGACTTCTCCATGACCCCCTGTCACTCTGCAAAGCCTGCGACTCCACAGCCCAATGGGGAGAATGCCATTCTGCCCGCTCTGACCTCAACCCGGCCAATGGCTCCTACCCTTTCCAGGCCCTGCGCTCACGCCCCTAATGGGCATCGACGCAAAGGTGCGGCTCCTCCCTAGCCTGGAGGCTGGGGCCTGAGGGCTGTGGGTGGGGGGAGTCACCATCACCAGTTTTGGGGAGGAGACAGGTTGGGGCAAAGCTGATGGTGGGGCAGGAATCACAGTCGAATTGGGCTGTGGTTGGGGTCACAGCAAGGTGTGACAGCATGGGCTGGGCATGGTGGCTCATGCCTGTAATCCCAGCACTTTGGGAGGCCCAGGTGGGCAGATCACTTGAGGTCAGGAGTTTGAGACCAGCCTGGCCCATATGGTGAAAACCCGTCTCTACTAATAATACAAAAATTAGCCGGGCATGGTGGCGGGCATCTGTAATGCCAGCTACTCAGGAGACTGAGGCATGAGAATTGTTTGAACCCGGGAGGCAGAGGTTGCAGTGAGCCGAGATCATGTCACTGCACTCCAGGCTGGGTGACAGAGCAGAGACTCAAAAAAAAAAAAAGTGACAGTGCAGAATTGGGCTGGGGGTCAAGGTCAGGGTAGGAGGTCGGCGCTTCTGGATTGGGGCAGGCCAGGGCCCCTGCTCAGCTGCGGCTCTGCCCTGTCCCCAGGTGACCAGCATGTCGCTGGCCAGGATCCTGGGCCTGCTGGCGGCCAGCGGTCCCACGTGGGACCAGGTGCGCCTGCCCAGTGGAGTACTTCGCCCTTCAGCGGCCTGCTGCACATGGGCCAGCCAGACCTCTGGAAGTTCGCGCCTGTCAAGGTTTCGTGGACTGAGGCCTGTCCCTGCTCTGCTGCTTTCGCCCTGCTGACCTCGGCAGGCCACCCTGTCCCAAGCGCCACCGGGATTTCCAACCCCAGCCCTTCTGGGGGCTTTGTTCTCTGATCTGGGGTCTGAATTATCTCCCTCTTAGGGTGGGGCACGAACCCGATGGGGCTCAGAACTGACTCCCTCTTCTCCCCGAGGTGGTGGGAGACCGGGCGCTCTCCCTCTGTCCCCGCCGTGCATCTCCCCACTCTGTTTCTCTCTGTTTCCTGCTGCTCTCTCGATCTCATTCCCACCCTGGGGCCCCCTTCTCGTGCTTCTCCCTTCCTGAGGGCTTAAAGGTCCTGGGGTCAGACTCTGGGGCTCCCATGGGGTGGAGGAGCCTGTTCCAGCATCTCCTCCCAGCTGCATTCCTACGGTGGCCCTGGGAGCTGGTGGAGTTTTGTCTGGGCATTGTCTCCGGCTGGCGTTGCTCCTCCCAGCTCTGGCCCCTCTGCTCCCTCAGGAAGCAGTCCCTTCGTCTCCCTTTCTGGACAGCTTTCCCTTGAGGACAGAAACTTGGAAAACAAACACAAACCAAAGTTTGATGCCATCTGTGGCTGGAGGGTCTTGAATGTCCTTCTCCATGTCAGGCAGAGGGTCAGCCCCCATGCTTCTGCCTCAGGCCCCCACCCCACCCCAGGCCTGTCCCTCACCTCAGGGCCATGCCCACAGCGCCCTGATGGAGGAACCAGACTGCAGGCTGTGCCACCATTAAACAAGAGTGGCTCTGGCCCCGTGCTGTGCTTCTTGGGTGGTGGAAGTCAAGCCAGCGCCTTTTTTCCTCTCAGGTTTGCGTTCTGTGCCATCATCCCCCCATGCAGCCTCCTGTACAGCCCTCTCTGTCTGTCCTTCTGTCCATTCACTCATCTACAACATACTCACCCGTCATCCATCTGCACAGCCTCCCACCCACACATCCATCTTCCATCCATCCACCCACCTACCTATCCATTTATCATCCATCCACCCCGCCACCCACCCACCCATCCAACCATCCAATCATCCAGCCAACCACCCACCCACCCATCCAACCATCCAATCATCCAGCCAAACACCCACCCACCCATCCAACCATCCAATCATCCAGCCAACCACCCACCCACCCATCCAACCATCCAATCATCCACCCTGCCACCCACCCACCCATCCAACCATCCAATCATCCACCCTGCCACCCACCCACCCATCCAACCATCCAATCATCCAGCCAACCATTCAGCCATATCCATCTGTCCATTTTCTTTCTTTTTCTTCCTTTCCTTCCTTTTCCTTTCCCTTTCCCTTTCCTTTCCCTTTCCTTTCCCTTTCCTTTCCCTTTCCTTTCCCTTTCCTTTGCCTTTCCTTTGCCTTTCCTTTCCTTTCCTTTGCCTTTCCTTTGCCTTCCTTTGCCTTTTCCTTTCCCTTCCTTTCCCTTTCCTTCCTTTCCTTTCCTTTTTTCTTTCTTTTTCTTTTCTTTCTTCTTAGGGCAGTTTCACTCTGTTGCCCAGGCTGGAGTGCAATGGTGCAATCTCTGCTCACTGCAACTTCTGCTTCCCGGGTTCAAGTGATTCTCCTGCCTTAGCTTCCCGAGTAGCTGGGGTTACAGGCATGAGCCACCATGCCTGGCTAATTTTGTATTTTTAGTAGAGACGGGGTTTCACCATGTTGGTCAGGCTGGTCTTGAACTCCTGACCTCAGGTGATCCACCCATCTCGGCCTCCCAAAGTGCTGGGATTACAGGCGCAGCCTCGTGCCTGGCCTCATCTGTCCATTTTCCATCCACTTACCCACCCACCCCACCCCCATTTATTCATCCAGCCATCCACTCATCCATCCACCAATGAGATCAGACAGGGAGGGAGGTTTTTATGTATTGATCTGTACACCACAGCATGGCTTACGAAGTTCTTACCTATCTATTTATTATCCATCCACCCACCCATTTATCTACCCACCCATTCATCCACCCACCCATCTAACTACCTATCCATCCATCCATCTATCCATCCACCCATCCACCAACTCATCCATCCATCCGCCCACCCAGTCATCTACCCACTCACCTATCCACCCATCCATCCATCCAATCACCCATCCAACCATCAATCCAACCATTTTCATCTGTTCATTTTCCATCCATCTACCCGTTCACCCATTCACTCCTTCTTCCACCTACCTATCCATTTATCACCCATCTACCCATCCGTCCACCCACTCACCCATCCATCCATTCTTCTAACCATTTATCCACCCATCCAACCATTTCCATCTGTTCATTTTCCATCCATCTACCCACACATTCACTCATCCATCTACCTACCTATCCATTTATCATCCATCTACACACCCATCCATCCATCCTTCCGACCATTTATCCATCCATCCAACCATTTCCATCTGTTCATTTTCCATCCATCTACCCATCCACCCATTCACTCATCCATCCACCTATCCATTTATCACCTATATACCCATCCATCCATCCATTCATCTATCCACCTACCCATTCATCCACCTACCTATTCGTTTATCACCCATTCACCCACACACGCATCTGTGCAGATTCATTCATAACCATCCATTCATTCATATCCATCCATCCATTCATTCATCCAGATGTTTATGGAGCACCTATGTTCTGGGTCCTATTTGGGAGCCTTGTTAACCACCAAGACCTTCCTAAGCCATATTGTGGTGTACAGACTGATACAAAAAAAGGCTCTCTCCGTGTCTGATCTCATGCAGCCTGCCTTGGAGACAAGACTCTCCCAGTGTTGTGTGCTTGGAGAGAGGAAAGCACACAGCCCTGGAGTCAGAGACCTGGGTTTGAATTCTGTCTCCACCTCTTACTAGCTAGCTATGGACTCAGCCTCTCTGAGCCTCGATTACCTCATCTGTGAAATGGGGTAATGGTGTGAGCAGCGTTTCCCTGGGGGACGTGATGCAGCCCATACGGGGCCTCATGCAGTCAGCATCTCTTCATTAGCAAACACTTATTGAACCCCTAGTACATGCCAGGCACTGTTATGAGGTCCAGGGGATACTTTATAACAAAAGGGACCAAAGCGTCCCTGCTCTTGTGAAGTTTACATTGGGGAGATAGTAAAAAAAAAAAAATAATGAAATATGCAGTGTGTCAGTGCTGGTAAACGCGTGGAGAAAATAAAGCAAGGTTGGGGTATGGGGTTGGGAATTGACTTGTGGTTTTATCTTATTTTATTTTCCTTTTTATTTATTATTTTTTTGAGATGGAGTCTCGCTCTGTCGCCAGACTGGAGTGTAGTGGCGTAATCCTGGCTCACTGCAACCTCTGCCTCCCAGGTTCAAGTTATTTTTTCTTTTTGTAGAGACGGAGTCTCACTGTGCCAACTAGGCTGGTCTTGAACTCCTGGGCTCAAGCGATCCTCCCGCCTCGGCCTCCCAAAGTGCTGGGATTACAGGCATGAGCCACCACGCCTGGCCAACTTGTGGTTTTAAAAACTAACTTTCTGCTGGTACATTTCCCAATTCTTCAGAGTGTTTTCATACCTGAGTCTCTCTTCCTTCTCAGGACAGCCCTGTTGGGAGAGGCTGGGGTTATCATTTATGTTTTACAGATGAGGAAGCAGGCTTGGGGCAGGGAGGTAATGTGCCCAAAGTCTGAAGACCTCGGCCCATCAGAGCCAGGATTGGAGCCCAGCCCGCCTTCCTCATCTCCTTGTGATGGTGCAGGCCCTGGTGAAACAGGCCACACCTACTGTGCTCCAGCCACTGAATCTTCACAGCCACTCCTGAGGCTGGGGCTTCCGGGAGACCCATTTTACAGATGAGCGAGTGGAGACCCAGGTGGTGGTTCTCACCCAGGATCACTTTCTTATTCCCTAGAATGATTCCAGCTGCTTTCTGTTTTCCAGGAGGTGGGGGTGGTCGTGAAGCCAGGCTGAATGCACAGAGCATAGGGGGGTGGTCATGCAGATGGTCCCCGACTGGGACATCAGCTAGCTCAGCAAAGGCGGGACCCACCTTTCCAGAGGCAGATGTGAAGGTAGTGCCTCTTGACTCTGAGCACTGTGAGTTTCCCACAATCCTCAGCTTCAAGATGGCTGCTGCAGGCACCTCTATTGCTGCTGCCTCCCTGAAGGGTAAGGCTCTGGCCAGCTGGTCACCCCCTGCCCACAGTGCCCCGGTGCCTCCTCTAGCAGGCTGGGGCTTTGTGCCAGGCTCAGGCTGGACAGTGGAAGCTGGAGGCGGTCCTATTCCAGGCAGGCTTTGGATCACTCAGATCTGTGTGATTTTTTTTCTTTTCTTTTTTTTTAAAGACAGAGTCTCACTTTTTTTTTGCCCAGGCTGGAGTGCAGTGGCGCAATCTCACTCACTGCAACCTCTGCCTTGTGGGTTCAAGCGATTCTCCTGTCTCAGCCTCCGGAGTAGCTGGGATTACAGGTGGACACCACCACGCCTGGCTAATTTTTGTATTTTTAGTAGAGATGGGGTTTCACCATGTTGGCCAGGTTGATCTCGAGCTCCTGGCTTCAAGTGACCCGCCTGCTTTGGCCTCCCAAAGTGCTGCGATTACAGGCATGAGCCACTGTGCCCGGCTCTGAGTGACTCTTAAACTTTAGTTTGAACTTGGGGTCATCCAAAAAGTGCCTTGAGGGTGGGGTTCCCTCCATGCTCTGGAGCCAGCTCCAGTAATTTCTCTTTGAACTATGATACGGGCTTCAGCACATTCTTTCGTTGGAAGAGATGGTTCCATGTTTGAGGAGGGTTTGCATGACATTGACTTCAAGTCCAACCACCCCTTCCCTCTCCCAGAGATGGTTGTCCAGTGTCAGCTCACACACCCCCAGGGGAGGGGGCCTCACTTCTTTACTTCCATGGGGTCTGTGATGAAATAATTCTGTGATGAAATAATTCTGACTTACCAGGAAGGACTTCCTATCAGAATGAAGTTGGCCTCCTCAGCTGCTTCTGCCTTCAGCGGAGGCAGCCTTTGTCCTACCCCAAGTCCCTCTTCGGTGGTACAGGGATGCCCCTCTCCTGGCATACAAGACCAGCTGGAGTCAGACTCCTGGCCTCACTCTGGGGCCCCAGTTGAGAACTGGGGCTGAGAGCAGACTTAGGGTCTGCTTATTAGAAGACCCCAAGGTCTTCCTTCTAAGGAAGGAAAGCAGGAAGGAAGACAGCTGATGATGGGAAAACACACAGGATCTTTGTTTCATAAATATATTTTATTTTTTCAATGAAAAAGTTTGCATATTAGAAAAATTTGTAAGGGTCAGGGGTGGGCTTCCTGGGAGGATGGCTGAGATGGTTCCTCAACCCTGGATGGTGGCCCTGTTTACCTTCCCTGGGAACAAGTTCTCAGGCAGGGTCACAGCTTCGAGGAATTCCTCACTGCTGTGATTCAGGTCTCTCCCATCCACCCTCCTCTGGGGACCTGGTGTGTTACTTGTGGGCACTTGTCACGCCAGCAAGTTGGCTAAGGATGGGCACAGAGCAGTCACACAGATACCAAAAAGGTCCAGTTCATAGCCTTACTGACTGCCGACCTTTGGCATCTGTATAGTGGGCTCCTGATAAGAAGTTAACCTGCACCCGGGCTACAGGCACTCAACCAAACATACATCGAGGCACTGGATAAAACTCCAGCCCCTCCAGGGGTCTCCTGGGCTAGGAGAGGACAGATCGGAAAGGGTCCGTCATCACTTGGGCAACCCATTTGTCATGCCCAGCTGTTCCTTGAGCGCCCGCAGCTGGGCCAGGCTGATGTTGCTGCCCCCACAGACGATGACCACGAGGGATGGCAGCGGGGCTTGGAGATTCCCCTCCCATTGGAGCTTCTGGATCACGTGGCTGTAGACGGCAGCCAGGGCTGCCCCGCAGGCGGGCTCCACCAGGATCTTCTCATCATCTGCCGGAGAAGGGGAGTGACAGGGGTGTGGCCTGAGTTTCCCAGGGTGCACAGGAGCTGACAGGCCATTGGCAGGACTTGGGAATACTGAGCCAATCAGTTCTCAGCCCTGGCTGCAGATGCAGGTCCTGGACCGCACATCCCGTTATCACCCTGAATTGGCCCTTCCAAGCCTGAGCCAGGGCCTGGGTTTCGTTATGAGCGCTAACACTGATAGAATGAGTGTGGTTGCTTGAGCACTGTGTTGAGAAGAATTCTGAGGCATCATCTGAGCAAGAGTTCCATGGTTGATTAGCCAAGTGTGCAGCAGGCACAGAAGCATAAATGGTACTATTTTTTTCTCTCTTTTTTGCCATCCCTGCCCTAGACTGAACCCAGAAAGAGTCCAACCTAGTTACAGACCCACCTCTGAATGAATCCAACTCTGAGCCCCATGTTTTCCTTTTTTACTCTGGCTACCAGGAAACTCAGAAGCATTATTTTAAATACTTATTGTTTTCTGCTGCTATTGTTATCAGGCTTACTTTTCTATTTACTTTTATGTGTGGCTTTTGCTCTTCCATGTCTACACTGCATTGTATTACCTTCCGTTAATGGAAGGTTCTAGGCAGAGATGGAAGACAGAACTGTGGAGAAAATTTGGGGTGAGTGGGATCCCCAGTGGCACACCAAGTGGACAGCCACTTAGCTCCTGAGTCAGCAGGTCAGGTCATGAGAGATCCTGGCACATACCCACGAACTTCTCAATGGCGGCCACAGCCTCCTGGTCCGAGATAACTTCAGAGAAAATGGGGTGTTCCTGAAACAGCTTCAGGGCCTGAGCCCCCACAGTCTTCACACCCAGGGCCTTGGCAACACTGAGAGAAGTGGGAACCCAGAAGAGGATGGGAGTGGGGGAAACAGGAGAGAGATGGGGGCAGGGAGGGAGAGAAAGAGATGGATGTGAGACGGAGAAGGCAGTGAATCCATGGGCAAGGGGCACAGGTGTCACCTCTGCAGCCGTAAAGCACTGAAAAGCCTCAGGGATCCCCGAACCAAGTGGGGTATTCTAATAAGGTGAGAGTGTTTGAATTGGCATCGCATAGTATATTCTTTATTATCACTATTTTTAATTTTTTTGAGACTGGGGGTGTCACTATGTTGCCCACGCTGGGTTTTTTGTTGTTGTTGTTGTTGTTGTTGTTTTTTGATGGAGTGTTGCTCTGTTGCCCAGGCTGGAGTGTGCAGTGGCACGATCTCGGCTCACTGCAATCTCTGCCTCCTGGGTTCAAGCAATTCTCCTGCCTCAGCCTCCCAAGTAGCTGGGACTACAGGTGCCCAACCACGCCTGGCTAATTTTTGTATTTTTAGTAGAGATGGGGTTTCACCATGTTGACCAGGCTGGCTTCAAACTCCTGACCTCAGGTGATCCACCCACCTTGGCCTCCCAAAGTGCTGGGATTACAGGCATGAGCCGCCATGCCCAACCCCAGGCTAGTCTTGAACTCCCGGGCTCAAGTGATCCTCCTGCCTTGGCAGAGCATCATATTCTGATCAACACTAAGTCAGGAGCAAATGCCTAAGAGGACCCTTGTTGTTCCCTGATAGGACTCCCTGCCTTTGCTCCGGGTTGCAACCTCTACCTGGTTAACCCTCATAAGGCTTAGTACCACTCTGCCTGCCCACATCCTGCTCTGTCCTTCAAGGCTCAGGATTAAGGCCACCTCCTCCAAGGAGTCCTCCTGGGAGAGTACTGAGTCCCACGGCCCTATGTGGAATTCTCAAATGGTACTCCCCTATAGTAACAAGCACCCTGATCACTTTTTGAGAAAGCATTAGGTGCCAAGCACTTCACAAGCATTATTGAATTCACACAAGAACTCTGCTGTTGTTAATTGGTTTGATTTTGGGAAGGGGAAACTGAGGCAGAGTATACAGTCATTTGCCCAAGGTCACACACCTAGGAAGTGCTGGAGCTGGGGCTGCAAGCAGGATCTGTATAACTTCAAGACCTGCGCTGGTAACCAATGTGTTGGCGCTGTCCAGCCCAGCCCCCCGGGGTGACCACTGGCTCTGTTCCCAGCTCAACTGCCCCCTCTCCCTTCCCCAGGAGCATCTTGAGGGCCTTGGCCACCTCAGCCCTCAGCAGCACGTGGTTTACAGTAGGCACTCAGCCATGACGTCTTCAGTCCCTACAGTGTGGGACACAGAAGCTCCAGATGCCAGGCTCAGAAAGCCGGAAGAAGTTCTTATCCGGCTGGATTCAGTCTTCCCTATCTGTAGTGGAGACTATTGTCTGCCCTGGTGTCTTTTCTAGCTGCACATATGATCACCTGGTATAAAGACATTTCCCAGCCTCTCTGGCAGCTGCATGTGGTCATGTGACTACGTTCAGGCCAACAAAAGGTAAGTGGAAGTTTTGTGTCTGTCTTTGAAGGTTGGGGCATAGCTTTCTGCCCTTGCTTCCCCCTCCCTGCCACATGGAATGTGGGTGTGATAGCTGGCACTCAGGCAACCATTTTGGACCAAAAGGCTACATGCTAAGGATAATGGGGAAACAAACTTAATGGACCCGGGGCCCTGACTTTTCATGGTAAAGTTCAATCTCATCTAAGCCACTGTTATTTGGGGCTTCTGTGTAATGGGGCCAAAACCTAATCCTAATTAAATACTATCTATCGGTCAGGCATGGTGGCTCATGCCTATAATCCCAGCACTTTGAGAGGCTGAGGTGGGCAGATCACCTGAGGTCAGGAGTTTGAGACTAGCCTGGCTAACACAGTAAAACCCCGTTTCTACTAAAAATACAAAATTAGCCAAGTGTCATGGCACTTGCACTCCAATTGGCACTTGCACATGCCATTGCCCTGCAGCTTGGGCAACGAGAGCAAAACTCCGTCTCAAAACAAACAAACAAAAACTATCTATCAAAGGTTTGGGGCTTGGATATGAACTCCTTAGGAGCAAGACTTGGGTTTATGCGCCACTCTCTCCCCAGATCAGCCAGTGTCTTGCACACAATAGGGGCTCAGTAAGTAGTTGGCAAAGTAATGAGGTATGTAAAACCTTGCCACAGAGGACTCAGTAAATGATTCCTATGCGGCCGGCCTTCCTGCCTGCCTGCCTGCTTGCCTCCCTCCCTCCCTCCCTCTCTCTCTCTCTCTCTCTCTCTCTCTCTCTCTCTCTCTCTTTCTTCCTTTCTTTCTTTCTTTCTTTCTTTCTTTCTTTCTTTCTTTCTTTCTTTCTTTCTTTCTTTCTTTCTTTCTTTCTTTTCTTTCTTTCTTTCTTTTTCTTCCTTTCTTTCTCTCTCTTTTTCTTTCCTTCTTTCTTTCTTTTTTTCTCTCTCTTTCTTTCTTTCTTTTTCTTCTTTCTTTTTCTTTTCTCTTCCTTTCCTTTCCCCTTCCTTCCTTCCTTTCCTCCGTCCCTCCCTCCCTTCCTTCCTTCCTCTCTTCCTTCCTTCCTCCCTTTTTCTTTGTTTCTAGACAGGGTCTTGCTCTGTCACCCAGGCTGGAGTGCACTGGCATGATCATGGCTCACTGCAGCATCAGCCTCCTGGGCTTAAGCAATCTTCCCACCTTAGCCTTCTGAATACCTGGGACTATAGGTGTGAGCTACCACGCCCAGTTAGTTAAAAAACAAAACAAAACAAAACAAAAACAAAAACAAAAAAACCAACTTTTTTAGAGGTGGGAATCTCTCTGTGTTACTCAGGCTGGTCTTGAACTCCGCCTCAAGTGATCTTCCTGCCTCAGTCACCCAAAGTGCTGGGATTACAGGCACAAGTCACTGTGCCCAGCCTCATATGAGGCTTTTCATGTGAGGAAGTGTGACGTGGTGGAGTCACACAGACTTGGGCTTGAGTCCAAGCTGTACCACTCACTGGATGTGACCCTGGGCAAGTGATCACAGCCTCCATTTCCTCATCTGTAGAACAGGCTAACATCAGGATCTATCTCGAAGCCAGACCTAAAGGGGACTCCCCAATGCTTGCTGGACACCTGAGGGAGGCACCCCAGCTGCTCACCTGGTGATCTTGGGCAGGGAGACGAGCTTGCCTGCGGTGGTGGCGGCGTGGAAGCTGTGGGCGCCAAAGGTCTCCATGGCGATGACAGGCACGTCCCCCCAGCCCACCTCCTGCAGCCCCTGGACCACTCCACACAGCAGGCCCCCACCGCCCACTGACAGCGCGATGGCCCCCGGCTTTTCCCACAGTGCCTCCTTCAGCTCTTTCACGATGGAAGCGTGGCCTTCCCTGGAGGGTGGGGAGAGGGGGTGGCGGGTCAGGGCTAGGCTTCCTGGAGACACCAGCTCAGGTTTGCACCAGCCTCATCCCAGCTGATGGGGCCTGAAGCTACTTCCCTCCCCACTCGCCACCTCGGCTTCCAGCTGCCAGCATCTGTGTCTCTACCTGAGGACTTTCTCTGGCCACCTGAGCTACCTGCAAACAGAGTCAGGAGATGGCAGCCCCTTAGAGGAGCCCTCAACCAATGGCTGCGGGTCGGCGAACAAACTCCCCTGCTCCTTCTCCCAGGGAGAGGGAAACTGTGGCCCACCTTCTATACTGGCTCCCAGGGTCCCCAAGGGATTAAGCTCCAGCCACCCACAGTGGCCACCTACCCTTGAAAGTCCCCTTCCTGACATTTTGGGCTGGACGATAGAAAAAGAAAAAAGAAAAAAGCAAGCCCCCTGCCTTCCCTGGCTCACTTCCCCACTCCCCCACTGAATCACCTCCCAAATAAACTCCTTTCCCTGAAACCTTTGTCCCCGGGTCTGCTTCCCGGAGGACTCAGCTGCTGACACTTGGACACCTGTGTGCATGCATGTTCAGCCTTGGGTGTGTTGTGGGTGCAGCCGTGGAGAATGGGCATTTGGTGCACATGTGTGTGAACCTGCTGCTGCACCTGGGTGTAACATGTGAACATGTGTGTTTCTTCTTTCTTTTTTTTCTTTCTTTTTTTTTTTTTTTTTTTTTTTGTGAGACGGAGTCTCACTCTCTCACCCAGGCTGGAGTGCAGTGGTGCGATCTTGGCTCACTGCAACCTCCACCTCCTGGGTTCAAGCGATTCTCCTGCCTCAGCCTCCCTAGTAACTGGGACTACAGGCATGTGCCACCACGCCCGGGTAATTTTTGTATTTTTAGTAGAGACAGAGTTTCACCATGTTGGTCAGACTGGTCTCAAACTGCTGACCTCAAGTGATCCTCCCACCTTGGCCTCCCAAAGTCTGGGATTACGGGTGTGAGCCACTGCGCCCCGCCTCAGTGTGCTTCTACATGGTGGTGTGTGCACACATGTGCAGCTGCTGTGCATGAGGATGCGATGATGTGCATCATAGCAATGCCTGCCCGGTGATATAGGGCAGTGGCTGCCACCCCCACTGAGTTACCTTGAACTCCACATACCAGATAAGGGGGTCGTCAAAGGGGGGAATGTAGACCCAGCCTGGGTTGTTCTTCGCTAGGGCCTTGGCCAGCTCAAAGGCTTCATCCAATAACTGCAAAACCACAGGGGAGATGGGAGGGGGTGAGGCACAGGGGGGACCCTGTCCAGCCACCAGGTACCCTCTCTCTGCCCTAGGTCGGCACTCACCTCACCCACCACCTTGACTGTGGCACCTTCATTCTTGAGGCGCTCAATGGTGAGAGCAGGTGTGGTGCTGGGCACGACGATGGTGGCGGGGACGCCCAGTTGCCTGGCTGCATATGCAGCTGCCATGCCTGCATTTCCCGCTGCCAGGGTCGGGGGTGGAGAGGGTGTCAGTGCGGGAGCATCTGGGAGCCCAGGCAGGACTACTTACCCTCTCCTGGGGGCTCTGGAGATCCCCCCTCACCTCCCCACCCTGGGTGATTGCTGGCCTCCCCCTGGAATTCCAAACTGCTGGCTGCTGCCAGTGTTTTCAATGGCACATTGCTGGGGAAGCCAGGGCTCAGAGAAGCGGAGTACCTGACCCCAGGACACACAGCAGAGGACAGGATGGGGAAGCAGGTCACTTACCCGAGGAGCAGACAAAATGTGCGCAGCCTTGCTTGGCCCACTGTGGAGACAACAGGAGAGGCACTCAGGCCCACCTCCCAGTCATTGCCTGTGCTCTTCCTGTCCACCTGGAAAACCTGCCAGGATTCCAGTGGACACAGACCTTTCCTTCACTCGGAATTTGTTCTACCTTGTCTGAGACTGCACCTCCCCTCTCCAAAGAGACTGGCTCAGGAAGGGGTGGAGGAAAACAGGCGACTGATGGCTCTGGGATCAGTCCTGAGGGACCCTCCTGGAGGGGCACCCCTCCACCAGAGGAAGCCCTAATGGTGGACGCTCAGTCATTGTGGGGAGTCAGTAGGCTTATCCCACAATGACTTTAATTTCACACAGCACTGGCCCTGCCCTGGTGAGGAAGGAGGACCTGCCACCCCTGTCCAGACGATGCTGACCCGGTCCCGTACCCTCTTGCAGAAGTGCCCAATGCCCCGGATCTTGAAGGAGCCAGAGGGCTGGGCACTGTCCATCTTGAGGTAGACGCTGGTGCCGGCCACTTTGGACAGGGCCATGCTGTCACGGATGGGGGTCCTCACATGCAGGGGTTCTCCAGACATCATTACTGGCAGAAACGAAGGAAACCCAGAGGGTTAGGAGAACCAGCCAGAGTGACCCCTTCCTTCGCTTCCCAGCAAGCCAAGCAAGGGCTCAGACAGCATCCTGGAGACCTGGGCTCTAATCGCAAGTGGGCCACCTACTCGCCATGTGACATCAGACAGGTAATCACGCTTTGGCCTCAGCTCTGTCATCTGTAAAATGGGGACAGGTATCACCCTCCGCTCCTGACTTCTCACACATTTGCTGGGAGGCTGGAAAGATAACACTCAAACCTTGTAGCTTTCAAAATGCATGAGGTGAGGCTGGGCACAGTGGCTCATGCCTGTAATCCCAGCACTTAGGGAGGCCGAGGCAGGTGGGTCACAAGGTCAGAATTTCAAGACCAGCCTGACCAACATGGTGAAACCCCGTCTCTACTAAAAATACAAAAAATTAGCCGGGTATGGTGGTGTGTGCCTGTAATCCCAGCTACTTAGGAGGCTGAGAAAGGAGAATCGCTTACTTGAACCCAGGAGGCGGAGGATGCAGTGAGCAAGATCGCACCATTGCACTCCTGCCTGGACGACAGAGCAAGACTCTGTCTTGAGGAAAAAAAAAAAAAAAGAAGAAAAAAAAGAAATAGCCAGGCACGGTGGCAGGCACCTGTAATCCCAGCTACTCAGGAGGCTGAGGCAGGAGCATCACTTGAACCCGGGAGGTGGAGGTTGTAATGAGCCAAGATCAAGTCACTGCACTCCAGCCTGGGCAACAGAGTGAGACTGCTTCTCAAAAAAAAAAAAAAAAAAAAAAAAAGTCTATCTATCTATGTGAAAATTCAGGGACACCCACACACATATTCACACACACATACTCCATCCACACACACACACACACAATCCACCCCCACACACAATCCATCCACCACACACGATCCATCCACACACACACACAATCCATCCATACACACACATATAGTCTACATGTTTCTTTTATTTTAAAAATTTTTTTATTTGAATTTTGTTGTTGTTGTTCACATGTTTCCATGTGCACAGAGCATCTTGGAAAGCACGCATGACAGGCTGGCCAGAGTGGGGCTTTTGAGGAGAGCTGGCCCTCAGGATCATAACACCCACCTTTTGCATGGTTTGAATGTTTTACCATGTGCCTCTATTACTTACTTAAATGCATACATTAAAAAAAAAAACCTGGCAGCTGGCTCTTCTGACATGCAATTCCAAGTATCTTGGCTTAAATGGACAATCCCAGGACCCAGTAGAATGCCTGACTCATAGTAGATGTTCAATAAATATTTATTTAAAAAAAAGAAACCCTAACTTTTGGGAAGCCCAAGATTCAGTTAGGAAAAGCTCTTTCATAATTACTAATTTTGTCATAATTATTATATCATTGACTAATCACTTAGCTTTTAAATTTTATTTATTTATTTATTTATTTATTTATTTATTTATTCTGGTAGAGGTGGGGTCTTGCTATGTTGGCCAGGCTGGTCTCCAACTCCTGGTCTCAAGCGATCTGCCCACCTCAGCCTCCCAAACTGTTGGAATTACAGGCATGAGCCACAGCACCTGGCTTGCTGTTGTTTTAAGTCACATTTTGGGGTAGTTTGGTACACAGCAACAGGAAGCAGACTATTAACATGCCCAAAGTCACACTGCGAGTGAGGCAGGGAGGCAGGATTTGAACTCACCCAGGAGCAGTTGGCTCCAGGGCTCAGGCTTTCTCTGAGACCCATGGGCGTGGCTCAGGCTCCCACTTCTGGGATGGGCTCTCGGGGATGAAGCAGTTGGGGTGGCCTGGGGTCTAGCCACAGCCACATCTGCCCACCCAGCCTTTCCATCTCCCCCACCTTCCTCGAGAGTCCCAGGCGGATCTGATTCTCTTCAACTTGGGCCCGGTCAGAAGAGATCAGCAGGCGTTGGCTGAGGGATGTTCTGGTTCTCCCTCCCACCACCATCCCCCCTCCCGCCACCATCTCAGAAGGCCAGGCAACGGTGGCTAGCCAGAGACCCATCTCCAATGCCACCTCATCCAGCCCCCTGTCCCGGGCACTCCTGAACTGGACATCCATCCTGCCATCCCAGAATGAGCCAGACATCCCTTGGTCAGAGGGAGAATGAGGGGTGGGGATCCCAACTGCCCCCCCAGCCTTAGCATTCCCTAACTAGGTCACCGCTTGTCTATCTGAATTAACTGACATTCAGGGCCTGGGAGGGGAACTTGAACAGACACCCTCTCTCTGCTGGATCTCTTGAATAAAAGTCAGAGACTGGGGTACACTTCAAAACAGGACGTCCCCAGATCAGAATGAACTTTCAGCTCCTGGAGCTTAATCCCCAAACAATGGGATCCTGGTTTTTATTCATTTATTTGTAGAGAATCTCCCTCTGTCGCCCAGGCTGGAGTGCAGTGGTGCGATCTCAGCTCACTGCAACCTCCACCTTCTGGGTTCAAGCGGTTATCCTGCCTCAGTCTCCCGAGTAGCTGGGATCACAGACGTGCACCACCACGCCCGACTAATTTTTGCATTTTTAAAATGGAGACAGGGTTTCACCATGTTGGCCAGGCTGGTCTCGAACTCCTGACCTCAAGTGATCCACCTGCCTCAGCCTCCCAAAGTGCTGGGATTACAGGCGTGAGCCACCGGACCCAGTTCTGACTGACTTGACAGTAAAGGCCGGTGTAGGTCACCAAGGCCTGGCCTCAGGGACAACCGGGGTGGGAGTCGGAGGAGCCGGCCATGGAGACCCTTTTCAGGTGGATTTGGGGCGCCATTTGTCCCAGGCGGTGCCTTCAGGTAAAAGGCCAGGGCTCCCTCTGCAGGCAGCCCCTTCTCTGCCGCGGCTTTCCGTGCAGCGAGCATCTGTGAACTGCATCCAGCCTGCCAGTCCCACCCTGCCCCAAGGATCAGAAGACTTCAGAAGACGTTGTGCCTGGGGAGGAGGAGGGAGGCCCTGAAGCTGCTGTCTGCCCACTCGACTTCGGCAGTCGGAAGCCGCCTTCCCTCTCACTTGGTTCGCAGTAAGCATTCAGTCGGTATGAACTGTTATGAAATCTGGGCTAGGCACCTTAAGTGCAGGTCATCCTTTCACCCTCACAACCACCTGAGGAGGAAGGTGCTACACTCATCCCCATTCTACAGATGTGGAAGCTAAGGCACAGAACGGGACACAAACTCACAGTGTTTAGGCCCAACTGGCTCTTCTTAAAAAATTTGAGACAAGGTCTTGCACCCAGGCTGGAGTGCAGGGGTGCAATCATTGCTCGCTGCAGCCTCAACTTCTTGGCTTCAAGCGATCCTCCCAACTCAGCCTCCCCAGTAGCTGGGACTACAGGCATGCACCACCATACTCTACTAATTAAATTCTTTTTTTAGGTCAGGAGTTCGAGACCAGCCTGGCCAACATGGTGAAATCCCATCTCCACTAAAAATACAAAAATTAGCCAGGCGTGGTGGCACACACCTGTAGTCCCAGCTACTCGGGAGGCTGAGGCAGGAGAATTGCTCGAACCCAGGAGGCGGAGGTTGCAGTGAGCCCAGATTGTGCCATTGTATTTCAGCCTGGGTGACAGAGTGAGACCTCTGTCTCAAAAAAAAAAAAAATTTTTTTTTTTTTTTGTAGAGATTAAGGGGGTCTCACTCTGTTACCCAGCTCAGTCTCGAACTTGTGGCCTCAAGCAACCCTCCCGCCTCAGCCTTCCAAAGTGTTGGGATTACGGGCATCCAACACCATGCCCAGCCTTGACGGACTTTTTCTATGCCTCCCTCTTCCCCTGGGAAACCACAGGCTAGCCCAGGACACTCCAGTCCTGAGGTGGGACTGAGGGATGGGGCCACTTACCTGACAAAGGTGATGGGTCTGAGCAGCAAACAGAGCCAAGCCAGCGAGGGAGGGAAGGATCAACTGAGTAGATAGCCCACGAAGAGAGGGGGCTGAGGACGGGTGGGCAGTCTTCTGAATGGTCCCAGGGGCTACCCAGTCCTGGGCTTTATTCCCCTGGCACCTCCAGGCAGCCAATGGGGCCCTGGGGCTGGCTACACCCTCCCTCCCCGCCGCCAGGATCCACCCCCCTGGCTCGAGGCCACTGGGGCTCTCAGAAGGGAGGGGGAATCTGGCCAAGCTTTCTTCTTTGGCAGCTTCCTCCTGCCTTTCCCACAACCCATTCCTCCTCCCTCTTTCCACTTCCTCTTTCTGTCCTCAGTTTTGTGAAAGGAAAATAAAAATTGGGACCCCAACTCACTATGCCAAAAGAAAAAGAATTAAGCTAAAAGCTGAGTCATGCAAGAAACTGCCTATCCTTTAGTTCCTAAGCAGATAGCTTCAGATGAAAGGTTAAATATTGGCCCGGCATTTTGGGAGGCTGAGGCGGGTGGGTCACTTGAGGTCAGGAGATCGAGACCAGCCTGGCCAACATGGTGAAACCCCATCTCTACTAAAAATACAAAAATCAGCGGGGCATGGTGGCACGTGCTACTCAGGAGGCTGAGGCACAAGAATTGCTTGAACCTGGGAGGTAGAGGTTGCAGTGAGAGGAGATCTCACCACTGCACTCCAGCCTTCACAACAACAACAACAACAAAAAAGGTTAAATATCCCCACAGGTCGCTACTCTATGTTCACGTTATCTTATGTAAGCGTGGATTTATTGAGATCAAGACAAATACATAATTGACTATTTCCCTATCTGCCCCTCTTCTCTTGCAAACTGTGGATTTGGTAATGTGACCATACCTTCCTTCTTTCCCCTCCAGCTTGCTTTTCTCATTTAAATACTGACACCCTAAAGTCATCTCGGGAGAAAAGCACAGACCTGTCTCCCAGGTGTGTTCTTAACCTTGGCAAAACAAACTTCTAAATGGATTGAGACCTGTCTCAATCTTTTTGACTCTTTTTGACTTACAGATTGGAGACTCATGAAAGGGACCCTGGGTGGAGGCGGCCCTGACCTTTGACTAATTTCCTATTGGTGCTTTGTACCAGCTTGAGCTATCTTTTTTTTTTTTCCTTTGAGACAGGGTCTTGCTCTGTCACCCATGCTGGAGTGCAATGGCATGATCTCAGCTCACTGCAACCTCCATCTCCTGGATTCAAGCGATTCTCCTGTTTCAACCCCTCAAGTAACTGGGAGTATAGGCATGTGCCACCACACCCGGCTAATTTTTTGTCTTTTTAGTAGAGATGGGGTTTTACCATGTTAGCCAGGCTGGTCTTGAACTCCTGATCTCAAGTGATCCACCTGCCTCAACCTCCTAGAGTGCTGGGATTACAGGCGTGAGCCATCACGCTGGCCTTGAGCTATCTTGATTGCCCCCCAAAATAAGACAATTTGCTCAGGCCTGGGAGCTCCCCACCTCTGGAGAACTCCTGATCTCCCAAAATTGGTTGATATCTAAGGTTGATTTCCCTGAACAGCTCCTTTTCTGCGTTTTACTAGTTTTCAACAAGGAAGGTGAGTTTTCCGGCTTCCAGGATGATGGCAAGTAGGCAACTCCTTTCTGGAATTTCACTTGTGTCGGGCAGGGATGGCAAGTGTGAGTTTTCCCTGCTTCTAGGATGGTAGACAGCAGTCTTCAGCCTGGCTCCCGTGACTAGAAGTTAGGATTAACAACCAGCTGGTCTTAATTTCGCCTTACTTTTAGAGCACTCAGTAATTGCATAAATTGCTCGACTGTTTGTTTCCTTTGCTTGACTGTTCTTGTTCCTGTTGTTTTTGTTGTTTCGGTCTGTTTTCCATCGGATTGGACCAACTCCACTTGACTTGGTCAAATCTGAAGGAAAGTTTCAAATTATGGCGAACAAGGTCTTATGAATCGGCTAAATTCCCGCAGCTAGGAAAAAAAAAAAAAAAAGGAAAAAGAAAAAACAGCTAGAAAAAGAAAAAAAAAGAGAGAGAGAGAAGGATTTTGATTACCTGAGGGGCGTTATTTACATAACAAGGCCATCTTTTGCCAGTCAAGCCAAATTGAAAGAGGCTACTGGCTGTCACCTCACTCTAGTTCGGTAGCTAAGATTCTGTCCCTTTTTCACCACCGTGGCCTGGGCTTGGTTCCTAAATCAAGTCCTTTCTGGTTTGATATTTGTGTTACTTTTGAAATATCAGCAGTTTGTCCCTGCTAAAATATGGTAATGAGATTTAAAAGGATTTTTTAAAGAGCTCAATGGTTAAAAGCTTAATTAAAGGCCATATCCAAGATGCGTGTGTGTGTGCGTGTGTGTGTGCGTGTGTGTGTATTTATTTATTTATTTATGGGACCTTAATGCATTTTTTTTCTCTCCTAGGATCTGGTTTTTTTTTGAGATGGAGTCTTACTCTGTCGCCCAGGCTAGAGTGTAGTGGTATGATCTCAGCTTACTGCAACCTCCACTCCCTGGGTTCAAGTGGTTCTCCTGCCTCAGCCTCCCAAGTGGCTGGAATTACAGGTGCACGCCACCACATTGGGCTATATTTTTTGTATTTTTAGTAGAGACATGATTTCACCATGTTGGCCAGGCTGGTCTTGAACTCCTGGCCTCAAGTTATTCACCGGCCTTGGGCTTCCAAGGTGCTGGGATTACAGGTGAGAGCCACCCCACCTGGCCAGGATCTTGTGTTTTGAGAAAAAGTTTTATTTTTTCTTCTCAGTTGACTGAATTCTGTTTTCTCCAATTTACTTCTGCCTGTCTCCTTTCTCTCGCCACCCCCTACAACTCGAGGAACCTAAAATAATTTCTGACACTTTGGGATTCCTTAAGGAAAACAGAGAAGGTGCCAGACTCCTTTTTGGGGAGAAACCTCTGTTTTTCCTTATGGATCCCTAAGAGTATAAACAGGTAAGTTCCTCTCAGAACTTCAACTGCTTGCTTTTGTAATGTGTTACCTGATTTCTTTTTTGACTAAAATCGTTATTACAATGGGGGCTACTCTTGGATGTTTAAAATAAGAGAGGGTCTGGATGTGGGCCTAGTTATATAAAACAAATTTTTTTTAAAGATAAGAGAGGGTATGATTTAGACACTTAGAGAAATGTCTTTGCAACAAAGTGCACTGTAAAAGCATCACGCAGCATAGGTCCACCATGTCATTCTCTTTGGGGACCCAGGATTCACTGTGGGCTCTGCCCAGAGCTCCGAGTTCCAGTTAAAAGATAGAAACTAAATTTAAAACTACCTATCTAAATGAAATAGATTTATTTAGCAGATTTCTATAACTTTATGTTTGATTTGCTTTTTTTTTTTTTTGAGACTCTGTTGCTCAGGCTGGAGTGCAGTGGTGCGATTATGGCTCACTGCCGCCTTGACTTCCCCGGCTCAAACAATCCTCCCACCTCAGCCTCCCAAGCTGGTCTTGAATGCCTGAGATGGGAGGAGGTCAAGCCATCCTCCCATCTCAGCCTCCTAAAGTGTTGGGATTACAGGTGTCAGCCACCATGCCAGCTGTGGCATCCATTTTAAATCTCTCTAACACACCCAGACTCTCTTTCCTCTCTTTCTGTACTTTGAGATAAACATTTTGCTATCTGATTTTCATTTAAGAGTTGTTTATTTAGTATGTAAATTTAGGGCTCTCTAGCTGGCAGTTGCCTAGGGTAATGAAACAGGTTATCCAGAAATTAGAGGTTGGGCTGAGCGTGGCGACCAGCACTAATTCCAGCACGTTGGGAGCCCGAGGTGGGAAGATGGCTTAAGCCCAGGAGTTCAACACCAGCTTGGGCAACATAGTGAGACCCCATCTCTACAAAAAATAAAAAATTAGCTGGGTGTGGTGGCCTGCACCTATAGTCCAAGCTACTTGGAAGGCTGAGGTGGGAGGATCACTTGAGCCTGAGTGGTTGAGGCTGCAGGGAGCCATGCCGACACCACGGCACTCCAACCTGGGCAACAGAGTGAAACCCTGTCTCAAAAAAAAAAAAAAAAAGGAAAGAAAAGAAAAAGAAATTAGAAGTCTTAAATAGGAGGAAAAAAAGGAAGTCTTATGAATTTATAAGATCTCCCTCTGTGTCTAATACATGTATATATATGTGTTGTATATCTAATGTTACTACTAAAAATAGATAAAAAGAGCTTTAATTAAGTGATTTAAAGAAAAAAGTACTTAAATCAGATACTTTATCAGAAAAATAGACACTCTAAGCCCAAATGCTTTCTCAGGTTCACAAAACTTGGGACACCAATTCACTCTGCCAAAATTGAGCTGGAAGCTGAGTCACGCAAGAAGCTGCCTTTCCGTTCATTCCTAAGTAGAGAGCTACAGCTGAAGGTTAAATATCCCCCACAGCTACTCTGTGTTCACCTTATCTTACATAAACTGCCGATTCATTGACTTAAGACAAACACAGACCTGACCAATCCCCTACCTGCTCCTTTTCTCTTGAAACATGTGGATTCAGTAGTGTAACCGTACCCCTTCCAGCTCCCAGCCTGCTTTTCCCCTTTAAATATTGAAGACCTAAAATCATCTATGGAGAAAGGCATGGACCTCTCTTCTAGTCATGCCCTTGCCCTTAAACTTGGCAAAATAAACTTTTAAATTGACTGAGAACTGCCTCAGATACTTCCCTTTTTTTTTCTTTTTTTCTTTTTTTTTTTTTTTGAGATGGAGTCTCACTCTGTTGCCCAGGCTGGAGTACAGTGGTGAGATCTCGGCTCACTGCAACCTCTGCCTCCTGGGTTCAAGCAATTCTCCTGCCTCAGCCTCCTGAGTAGCTGGGATTACAGGTGCCCACCACCATGCCCGGCTAATTTTTTGTATTTTTGGTGGAGACAGAGTTTCACCATGTTGACCAGGCTGTTCTCGAACTCCTGACCTCAAGTGATCTGCCCACCTTGGCCTCCCAAAGTGCTGAATTACAGGCGTGAGTCACTGGACCTGGCCTGATAGGTCTTGATTTATAGTTTCTTCACTTGCAAATGGGGACAATATCTACTTTCCAAGGACCGTTAGGAAAATGGAATAAGGATTGTGTGAGATAATGCACTGAAAGTTGCTAGCATGTGCTTTTCACGTAGGAAACAGTAACAGTAATAGAGCGAGAATGTTTAACAGCCACTGAGCCCTCAGCAAGTACCAAACCACAGAGGAGGCAGGTACTGTTATTATCCCCATCTTACAGAAAGGGAAACTGAGGCACATGAGATTGTCATTTGCCCAAGATGACCCAGGCAATAAGAGGGAGGAGCTGGCCTCAGAACCCAGGCAGTCTGCTCCCAAACCTGCAATCCAAAACAGGCTGGACGTGGTGGCTCACTCCTGTAATCCCAGCTCTTTGAGAGGCTGAGGCAAGCGGATCACTTGAGGTCAGGATTTCGAGACCAGCCTGGGCAACATGGTGAAA